GTTTCAAATAATGCCTCACCAAAAGGATTTGGTTGTCCATAACATGACAGTTAATGTTTCGTTTCATTTAATTTCATTTGCAGCCTACGCATGCTAACGCAGCTACCCGCCTGAACTATGACAGTAATCAGAGTTATCATCTCTGTTGATGAAAGCAGTGATATGTATTTTCTGCTCCTGTTTGGAAAATAATGTCTTTGAAACAGAAACTAGGAGTTTGTTTTAGTAGCAGACATTGACATGCATTGTACCGCTAAAGTATAGCCATCTGCTAAATGTAATACATTAAATGTAAGTCTAGCCCTGAATCTCAATTGTAATATTTTTACAGATTTATGTAAAAGTAATAGTTGTAAGCATAACATGGAAAAAGAGTGAGTATGATGAGCTATTCAAACTGCCTACAGATACAGCAAATGCTTAATTTTCTGCACTACCCAGTTCAACCCTTTATTACATTGCAGGGGTAGACATGCTTTCATCATGTCTGGGTGATAAGTCTAGTTAGTGATGGTCTCTCGGCACATTAGGTTGCTTGTGATCCGTGACTGAAAGCTCTGAGTAATAATAATTTGAGTCCTGCTCTCATTAGGCCATCGTGGAGCACTCACACTGATCGTTACGTCCTTGTCTAATTGTAGAGCCACGAGGTGTACCCTGACGTGCATCAGGAGGTGCCGAGGGAGCGAGCCAGCGGCAGCCAAGCCCGATCTGTGTCCTCTCACAGCTCGCACAAGTCCTCACACACGGCCCTGTCGGACTCGGCATGTACGTGCCAGCCCAGCCTTTCCTCTTACAATCTGATGCAAGTTGATCTGTGTGACTGTGAGAGGGGGTTCATTAAATGTATTGATTGAATTGATTAAATGGATTCATTGATTACATCCTGGTCTTTGAAATCAGTTTTGAAGCTTTGAAATTATTTTTAGTGTGTCATTTTGAAATCAACTTTCCCTGAACTTAAAATCGTAAACTCTGTACATAAAACAGCGTGTTTTGTAACGTAAGTTCACAGCTGTTTATTTCAAGATATGAGAGTTTTTATTAGTACTACCATGTAACACGTGGCTTATTTTGAGAAAACCAGTGATATTTTGGCTAGCACTGTGCGTGTGGTTTAAAACACTTTACAACAAAGCTCTGGAGCTATATGCTTATTGCTTTTTGACACAACTGTAAGACAATATTGTACTCCATTGTCAGGCCCTTGTAGCATCATAGTAGTGGCCTTTCTATTACATAATAAAATGAAACAAAATAATTATTGTTCTTTGTCATTGAACGCAGCAAACTCTTCAATCAGGTACACAGAAACAAGTACGCCCTCCCGCCAGTCCATGGGGCCAGAAAAGCCTGCTTCAAGAATTCAGCCTAGCAGTTCTAAGGTAATTTCATATACAAAATGTCCTCAAAGAAGAAAATGTGAAATAATAATAGTAGGGATTTTTCTGAAATGTAGGTACGGTTCTTAGTTAATGTGTTCTCTTGCTCAAATTTTTTTTTCTTTAGCGTTTTAAGACTAGAATTAACCTGAAGATTGTTTACATACAGTACCAAAGAACAAAAGTGCATCAGTTCAAAAGCTGATTGGAACCTGTCCATGGCTTGTTTTGTTAATACCCATTGTGATACTAGCAGGTACAGAGAAAGATATGGACACTTACAGTTATAAAAGAAAACTTTTTAAAGAACACTCTTTCCACACTACTTTTAATTTGTCTGAGATTAAACAGATAAAGGCCTGCCTAGCTTTTAATGGTTTTATGGAGATGCAGACATTCATTTCCTTTTTCTCAGAAAACAATCCAAAGGCTGTGCAATAATTAATCCTTATCATTTGTTAAGCCGTGTTAACTTTTCAGTTGATCTCTGTCAGTTTAATCCATGACTGTAAAAGAACTGCCATACTGTAGATTCATTTAGTGAAATGCTAGCTTTGTAGCATTTCACTGTCTCTGCCTGATTATTTAACCTCAATACTTCCTCTGGTTTTTACTGAGTGCAAGAAGATGACTCTTGTTTTGTTTCCTTTTCCTCTCAGACTTTGGTACCCAGCCAGACCGCTTCTGAAATTCTTCCTCAGCAACATGTACCACCATCTCCGGCTTCCAGTCAGCACTCTCTCATGGTTCGTTTGTAGTTAAGCTCATTTTATAGTCAAGAGCACCGGTAAAAGTGCCACCCTCGCACATAGTTGTCGTTTTAGACAGTAAGGAAATGAGTAGAGTGTTTTACATCATTTTCACTGTAGAAACAGGCAGGAAGTTGTTGTTGTTTCATAGGTGAAACGTCGGATCACAACACTCCCAAAAACTGTGGCTTATAGTAACAACAATCAACCAATTGGCGATTGAAACATTTTTTTCTACATACAACTGGAAGCAAAAGATTGAAATTAAATTGTCTAGGACATTTTCTGCATTTTCTTTCGCACCTCATGAACAATTTAATTATCTTTTATCTTTTTGTACAACACCTGGATATTTGCAGGATTTGTATTTGTTTGAGTTAAATCTGTCGTTTCAGTGGATCCACTCAAGAGTGCCTTAGATTGTTCTTAATAATCGTTGTTTTACTAATTAAACATTCAGACTGTGAGAGACACGGGCAAAGAGAAAAAATAGGAACATAAAAAACTGTAAAGGAGAATGATCAACGGTAATAAACAAGTTTCCTTCACGCACACATGGAGGTGGGTGCTCATGCTGTGTCTGTGGTTCTTGGGGTTTCAGCAGCCGATGTACCAGTTCCCACCCCAGCTGGGGGTGATGCACCAGCTGAAAGAGCAGCTGGAGGAGCGAACTCGGATTCTACAGGCCGACATCAAGACACAACAGCAGGAGTTGCATGTGATCAAGGAACAACTGCAGCTTGTAAACAACTCTAATCTGCAGGTAACATTCAATTCTGAAGACAATTATTTCCCATCAAACTCATCACAGCAACCTACCTCTTGTGCAGAGCAAGTCATCACAGCTGATGATCTCCAGCTGCTTCAGAACAGCACACTATACTGTATTTATACAGTATCAAAGATGCAACCATCTCTTTAGTGGGAATCCTCTTTCGCCCTCTTTCAGTATATCTTTCCTGTAACAAACCTTGCTGACAGAGGAACTGAACATATGGTCAAAGGAATCATGACTTTAGTAATAATCGTAACAGAAATGTTTTAAAAGAACTTCAATGGCTGTCTGTTATAAAATATGTATGTTATTACCTCATTTCTGTACTATTTTACTACAGCAATCAAAATTCATCAAAAGTCTTTAAATTTAAGTTTTCTGTCTTTATTGAAGGACCTAGAGCTTTCAAATTCTATTCTGTGCTACGAAGAGGAGTTGAGCTACATTGAAATGTTGAGCAACAAAACTGCCTTGAAAAGTACAATGTGATTGAGTAAAACAGATGGTGATATTTAAGTAATGAAATCTACTGCAAGAAAAACTGAACATGTCTTGAAAGTAGACCAGACCTCCCCAAGATTAGACTTCAAAATACAGAAAGGCTGGGGTCATGAGTGGTTTAACTAGTAAAAGTTCTTACTCATGGCACAAGTTGTGCCCTGTGGCCTAGCCTTTCAGTTTAAACCTTGGCCGAGTCACTAGTAGATTTTGACCTGGACTCTCTGAGTGTCAACATGGGGTTGCTTAGACCCTCTTGGCTTTTGGTGAAACAGCAACCCCTTCAACTTAAGAAGCATCAGCAGGCTTTCCGTGATGTCAGGGAGAGACAAACTCCTCCAGTCTGCAATATATTCTGATGGAGATAAATCTATATCAGAATATGTGATACAGTATATATCAGATATCACTACATCTGCTTTTTTTAATCTTTCTCCAGATGTTGTTGCAGCAACCCGCTCCTGTGGGATTTAGCTCAGTGCAACACCAAGGGCCTGGAAGGTCCAGTCAGCCACAGCAGCAGCAGCAATCAGGGGTTATCAGGCAGCCATCTGGTCACTCCAAACAGCCTCTAATGGGATCTGAGCACCTCTGCAGACCACACAGTTCCTCGCCACACTCACTCATGAGGGAACCCAGCACACCCTCTCCACAGGTAAAAGGCCAGGGGGCCTCTCAAGCCAGCTCTTTGTGTTGAAACCCACAACCTTTGATGGGGTAATCACTGTTACCAGGCAACAACCCACACAATTTAGAACCAAGTTTTTTCTCACCTCGTATCACCATAGTAACTTTCTCACTCATCCATTTTGATGTTATTGAAAATCAATTTCCAGGTTCGTATTTCCCCTTTAGTTAAAAGCTGTTTTGTTCTACCATAAAAACAAGGTAAATAGTGACCTTCCTATTTTTATTGAGCTGTGGTGCTTATTATATTCTAAAATTAGAACAGAAAATTGTTTTGGTTTTTCATGACCTAAGCACACTTTCTTAATAAATTGTACTAGTGATTTTACTTATCTCTTATATGTAACAGTCTAATTATATGAGTTGTTTAACATATGTTTCCTAATGCCAGGCATTACTACAGACTGTTGCCCATACTGTAGTTGAAAAATAAATAAGCTTTTCTTCACCTTGTAAAATGGTGAGACAGTTTAACTTGACTGAAGGAGTAAGGTCATGTGAGGTGATGCACTTAAGTTGAATAGAGTAGATAATTTTAATGTTTGTATTTCCTTACTTTTGCTTTTATTTTGATAAATGGAGGGCATAATCTTCTGGAGTTTTATACAAATCCAGAAAGTTTAAGACAAATGCCTCAAGTTATTTTTCTAAACGTGTACTTTTTCCCTTTTATTTTCTAAACAGATTGAAATTAAGACATAAAACAATAAAATATTTTCCTCTGCAAGTTTTCCACATTTTGGTGCAACAAAGTTCATTAACCAATGGGTTATCCCTTTTTAAAAAACGACAACAAGCCCTTTCCCCTTCAGAAAATGCCACCAGTTCAACGCATCATCTTTTCACACATCATCTTTGTTTTGAGCAGTATTGGCTGCCCTCATGTTTTTTGATGACATGTACATGCTAATGCAATTACCACAGTGTTTTTAGCATCATTAGTTCTGTAGTAGATATGGAATCCTATTCCCTGGGGACCTCCTGGACTATATAGACCAAATGTCATAGCTGTTTGCAAACCAACAATATCCTTTGGCTAGATCAGCAATTTAGTTCTGCTCTACTAAGCAAGTCATGCTGTACATTGTGGAATGACAAAAGCATTTTTAATGCAGCAACTTGAATAATTAAACTCTCAGCAGGCATTTATTTCCAGTATTTTGATTTTTAAACCAGGTGCTGAAATCACAATCTGGTTGCTTTGGCCAAGTTCTGTTAGAACCTTTTATCGATTTAGTGAACGGGGTAGATTTTATTCATTAAAGCTATATAACAAAACGTGAGCTCCTCCTTTCAAGATTATGTTTTTATTCTTGTCTCTATTGTTAGTTTTTGAAATGTGAATTGAATATTTTTCTCCTCCTTTTGCTATAAATGAACGTCAGACCTTTGCCACCAACAATTCCGAGTTTACTGCTTTGTTGTATTCGACAACAACGCAAAAAAGCTTGGGGTAGAGGATTACAGAATTCACTTTATTTTTCTAATCACTCTATATAGCCTAAGGAATGTTAATTATGCCCTCCAGGTGGTATCTGAAACATTATATTGTGTTAAAGGTATCAGGAAACCTATTTAGCTAATTATCCAGCAGAGGTCTGACATAATGTATCTTGCATGCTAGAAATTAAAATTAATGATAGTTAAGAACATAAAATAGATTACACATCACATAATACCATATGTGTAATCTTGCTCATTTGGAAGTTTAGCTAGGTGTAGCTAGGATTTTGGCCTTTTTGTACCAGGCCAGAATTTGGCCCATGGCACCCACCACACTGTAAATTTCAAATTGTTCACACTTTATTAATTCAGTTGTAACCCATGTCCTTATTATTATGGACCCCTGAGCTGACTTTTTAAAAATACCTAAGGGTTTTTCATACTGAGGTTAAGTCTGTCAATTGCCTTTGTTTAGGGACTAAAGAGGCTTAGTTCCTTGACTCTCTTTGTAAGTGACAGTCCCATAAAACAATAAATCATTCTTGTGGCTCTTATTACAACTGTCTCTAAGGCTATGATATCCTTTTATTATGACTAAACACAAATACAGTTGTTCTATATGATCTCCTTATACACCCATATTCCTTTCATATTCAATATAGCTTCCTGCAGCTCAGAATTACCCATGTAATATCTATAGTGTATATTCCTACTTCCTGCCTGAATTGCTTTTCTCCTGTCAAGATGAAATTACGACAAGAAATTTGAGTGAATCCACACTTATGGCATGTGGCACACCTTCAAGGAATTTCTATTAAAAAAATAGAATGTATCAAAGTTTTTCAGACTGGAATGAAGCTGCCCAATGAAAAGCAAGGTTAAATAAATTATATAATAATAGCTAAATCTTGTGAATGTGAAAATGGAACAACTTCATGAGTCTTCATTTTAGTTGTATTCTTTAAAAAGTATGTGCAAAAATTTTAATATTTCCTTAAAATTAGTACTTGCTTATTGCCACCTATCTTTATCACACATACTTCAGTCAATACAGAGTCTAGCCAAGTGGCTGCTGAGCAGATTCTACACTCATCATATATTAGATGATGTACAGTGAATGGTTGTATATGGAGCTTTAAAGAGAGGTTTGCATGTTCTGTTTCTTTTTTACAGGTTGCTCTGGTTTCCTCCCACTTTACAAAGACATACTGACTTTAAATTATGCTTGTGTGCGCGCATGTGTGTCCCTGCAGGGTATCAAATATAGGAGTTGGTCTCCTGTGTTCTACACCCTTGGGTTACTCTCAGCTGTTCTTTGACCCTTACCAGGAAGAAGCAATTTTCTGATAAGAGCTGAATGTTTAAATGACCATGAATTTCATTTTTTCCCCGTCATTAATTCGTTTTTAAGGATCTTAGTCATGGTCTTTTGTCCTCCATCCTAACAAAGCCATTTTAATATGGGTTATGAAATGTCCTAAAATACTGATGAAGAACTAATTCATTATGTATACTCTAATAATTTCAGTTTCGAGTACAATAGTAATAAGATTGCATTCCTCACCTATTCCCTGATCAATACAAGATATGGACCATGATGCTGTGCAAGGTTTCTACCAGAGGACACAAAGAACCCACATTAGACTTACTCATTACCATTTCCCTCTTGACCACATATTTTTCGCCCTCTCCCAGGTCCAGCAGAGAGCCATCCATGGGAGTCAGATGCAGCCATCCAGTCTGCCAGTGCAGACCCATGCTAGCCTGACCATGCCACTTTACAGCAACCCCATGATGTTCTCACAGACCAGTTCCCGGCAAGCACAGTTGCCAGTGTCTCAGGATGTGAGCCAGCAACACTCGGATGCTGACTTCAACCAGGATAGACAATTACGGTTTGTTTGCTTGTTTTTTCACTACCCATTAGAACTGCAGGGACTTAACTGCCCTTGATTGTTTTGCATTGAGCATAAATATTTGGCTCATCTAGGCTTTGATGAAAAACAGTGGGGACAACAGTTTTGGTGAACATCTTCAAAGATGTAAGTCTGAATGTCATGAGGTCTTTGTTTGACAGCAGCATCACCACTTTGTAGCCAGGTGTTGTCACATCTGAGGAGCATATTAAGGTTGAGCCTGATCAGTACTGGGATGGTTGACATCTGAAGTAGGGCTGACGAATTCTGGTTCTGGAGGGCTGATGTCTCTTGGGGTTTTCATTCCACTTCAGCTTCTCAGAAGCTACATGAAGTAGTTGTTCCCAGGCCTTAATTGTTGCAGTTTACTAGCTTCTCCCAGGTGTTCAGGTTCAGGGCCATGACTAGGACTGGACAGCCCTGCTCTAAAGAAAAGCAGGTTGCTGCTGTAAATGGTTGGTTGGTATGTGGTCCATCTCTTTGGATATAAGATGGAATTTTCTTTTTGTAAGGAGCCTATACTGTGAAAGAGGTGGTATCTATGGAAGGAAATCTATGGGTGGGTTGGAAATGGATGTATTTGAGAAGACATTCTTTCCTGTATTTCAAAAACAGATTGTGCTTTTGTCTTACAAAAATGGATATTGGTTCATAGTGCTTAGTTTTGCAAAGGGTTTCAAACATTAAAGCTGTGAAAAAGGTGGAGCACCGGGGCATGATTGATCAAGACTTTCTGCTTCATCCACAGCATGCTGCTCAATCAGCCAATTCAGCCATTAATGCCAGACAGCAGTGGAAGTGGTCAGCCCTCACAGTGCAATACAGCAATGCAGCAAACCAAGTGAGTATTACTGTACATGTGTAGAGATCAACACCCCAAGAGTTAAAGATTAATGCCTTCAAACTCTGGCTGACTTTTCTAAATAGGTGTTCCTAAATGAATTGTGTAAATTATTCTAAATATCAGTTTATGTGTTTAATTTTTACCTTTATAAGTATTTGTATTTGGAATTTAGCATAAAATAGTCCGTCGAAATATGCTTGAAAGCATAAGTTTATGATTTATGGTTTGATGTTTATGGTTGCATTGTTGCATGTTCTGTTGACATCCCTGGAAACGTCTATATATAATATGTAACTTCCTCAGGAAGGAATGTGAAGATGCTAAAGAGACCAAATGACTCTCAATATATGAAATGCAAATTATGTGAGAAATACTATAGATTTTATTAACTATCCTTCTTTTCAGATACACACTTGACCAGCAGATGGTGACCCCTTCATTACCACTGCAGCAGATGAACTGTAGTGCTGTTATAGTCCCATCCCCTGTGTTCACATCACCCATCATGATTCCGCACAACAGCTTTATTACCCATCAAGCACAGCCTGCCTATCATCAGCAGCCTCCTGTGTCACAGCAGCCACTTCAGCTCCAGCAGCACCATCAGTTCTTTCAGGTAACACCATAACCTCGCTAATGTTTGCTTTGAGAAAAATCAGATGTGAAAAGCCAGGTCCTTAATTGATTTCATGTGGCCGAGATCTTTGAAATTGTACCGTGGTTCATAATCTGCTTCATCTTGTCAACAGATGCAGCCTCCTGGGTTGTTACATAGTGGACAGACTCAGACTCTCTTCCACACCACTCATCTACCACAGCAAAGCACCATAGGATACAGCCAACAGCAGTCACAACAGCAGCAGCAGCAACCACAACAACAGCAGCTCCACCATTCTCAGAACCAGACGGGCAGCCTTTCAGACATGCGAAACATGCTGCTTCCCCGGTAGCCACAGAGGAATAGGAATGTGGCGGAGAACATTACAGTTCCTCTGACAGGATTCAAAGGGATGCCTGGAACATCAGTAGCTTGAGGCGCTAATGGGCCCCAGTATGAAGGCCAAAACTGCTGCCCCCTGGTGGCAAACAGAGCTGTGAAATCTGTCTTTGGTGGCCTTACACTGGATAAGGTACTGCCTTTTTATGCATTTAACTATTCTATTTTTGTATTCCACATGTTCTGTGTACTGTGGGCAAAAGCTACCAAGACAGGTCCCTGCTTTTCAAGCATAACCTCTGGCCAGTGCAGCCCAAATTGGAGTGCAGAAGCGCTTCAAAGGCCATTTCTATTCATGCGCTGGGGCCACACGCTGTGTGAAACAGAAACAGAAATGGCACTTGCCTGAAGCTGGGTATGAAAAAGGAAATGTTCTGGGTATTTTCTTGAGGTGGGGTGAGCTCTATCAATAGCTAAGTGGGCCGTAATATTGGCAAGGCTCCAGTGTCTGTCCTGCAAGTCTAACAGTAAGCGGAAATGGACCCTGTTAATTGCCCTGGCATAAAGGTGCTAAATCCTGAGCACTTCATTTCATAGAATGCTGCGGTATTACTGACAAGAATATCAAGCTGCACTACCTTGGGTTTGTATAAGAAGACATAACATATTTGGGCATTAAAGAAGAGTTTTTAAGGAGCCAAGTACTCTTGAGACCTCAGAGAACTAGCATAAATGACAGTCTTTTTCACAGTATTATGCGATGGTAGTATTGAGCACATATGAACACTACTGACACCACTTCTAGATGTTTAACATTAGTCTGTTCAAAGTCACTAGAAAAAATTACCTGTTAAAGTTTTCACCTTTCAAAAGACAAAAGCCCATTTTTAAAATTTAGTTAATGGATTTTACCCTTACCAAGGGTAAGGTTTAAGGCTTAAGATTTGCAAAGTATGTCATCCAAGTCAATTTCTCAGTCTGTGTTTTGGCTACAATGTTTTTGCTGTTGGAAAAATATAAAACATTAGTCCCCTTCTTAACAGCATTTTAAAAAACCTGATTTTCTCATTTTTAAAGCCAGAAGAAAAATACAGAGTTTTATTTACAAAACATAATGTATGCTCTGCATGATGAGTCTGCAGTTATGTGGGTGTTCACGCTGGCTGCTAACTCAAGGTGCTTCTTTTCCAGTTGTATAGCAAAGCAAAAAATATTCAATTGTTTTTCTTAATGACAACAAATAGAAAAATGTTAAATTTTATGTAACTTAATCCTGGATGGAGAGGACAGTTCTTGGTAACAAGAGATTTACTCTGGTCTTTACACTATATTCATTCCACTTTCACTTTTCAGACACATAAGGTACTGCTGTGATATTGTATTCCTGGTGAAGGCAACCTTTTCTTTAAGATGGCATATCTGCCTCTCAACTGATTTTTCTAGGTCAGTAGTTTTTGCCACTATAGTATTTTATGTAAACCTATTGAACACTTGGGCTGAGCGATATACATGTGTAAGGCATGTTATTATACAGGGAGATGATAGCAGTCACTTGGTACAAGAAAAGATTACAGTAACTTTACTGCTGTGGTAAATTTATCATAATACTATTACTATATTTTGAAAAGTTGTGGATCAGTCAGGAGCAATGACAGAACTTTCTGTTATGTTATATGTAATTCACTCTCATTTATGTGTCCTTTGAATAAATCTGCAGGCCCTGCACATAAAGAGACATCAGCCAGCCACTTGACCATGAATTTCACAACAGCCTGCTTTATGATGGAAGGTTCTAATAATAATTTATAGAAAAGTAACAGTAACAAAATTGGTGCTTGTCATTATTTTTGTACATCCATTTATGTAGTTGTGCATTTATACTGCAGAGTAGAATTGAACTCTAATTCTACTCTGTGTAAATAGGGGACAAAATCAAGTCTGTCATATTTCTCCTAGTTGTCAGGCCTTGATGTACTAGTCTTTAAAATGGCACAATTTGTTGATTAAACCCATTAAAGTCATATTAGAAATAGTATAACCTTTTCCTAATGCATTACATTGAACTGTATGAATAGGGAAAAGCAGGTGGTAAAGGAAAAAAAAAACACTTTAAAAGTCATTAAATTATAATGTTATCATAATCCAGCTATCAATGTAAATGTTGCAAATGTAGTGATAATTGTTGAAGGCACTTGGACAAGCCACTGGGTTTTTAAATGTATTTCAATATGCTTAAAAAAAACTAAATATTAACAAATAACAAAAGGCCACATCTAGTCTTCATAATACTAGGTAGCAGCAGCCTTTGAGTGGTTTTTGAAAAAAATATGTGCTTATATTAATTTTACACTACAGTCTTTCATTTCCAGTAAGGTGTTGCAATGGATTCAAGCTCCTAAGTTGCTCAACCAATAATTGTGCTCATTTGGAGCAATGATTGAGCACATTTTGGTATCTGTAAGATTTATAACCTAAATAAAAGTAAAAACTAATTATTCTGCAAAGACATTGACATAAGGAAAATTTACATAACAAATATTAAAGAATCTCCAGTTTCATTGATAATATTCTACAATTGTATTGCAATCGCAGAGGAGCTCCTTCTTCAAGTATAGTGTCTTTCTTTTCAGCTTTCTACCAAAAGAAAAACTTTCAGATTTTTTATAGCTTTCACTTGCATCGACTATGTTAATTACAAAGTGTTGCCACTGCTGTGCTGGAACTATTTTAGTGTTTATATGTAGTACACTATTGAATGAACACAGTGAGGTTACTGATCATGCACATTTCTGTAACTATACAAGGATTTGTCCACTATAGTGTCGTTATGCAACTCTCCACTGCACACAACCAAAATAAGCCGTTGAGTGTTACAATTGAAATTTGAATTATGGTGGCACTAGCAAAATACTGGCACATTTGTTTCTCTTTTGAAGTAATTAGTCGGGTTGACAGCTTAAAATACTCTGATTCATGCCATTGATTTGTTGAAGATATGCTATGTTTAAATTAATTTACCCATTGCCCAGGTTATTATAATAAATGTAGATAAACGTACTGTAAATGACATTTTCTAGAACTTTACTATTTATAGGTCCTATTGTACTGGTCCTTCACAGTAAAGCCTTTTTTTTCCATTTTATTTTTTTTTTACATAACCTAGAGGACTGTTATAATGTATGTACTTTTCAGTTGTTCTTATTTACCCTTAAGGTAAAAGGTTTAAAGAGAAGCTTATAAAAATATAAATTTATAAATAATAAGGAAGTGTAAAGGTGTTATATATTTATTTGATATTCTAATGGATTTTCTAATGGAAAATCGTTTTTTTTTATTCAAAATGTATAAAGTTAATTTAGTTCGAGTTAAAAGTTCACACTAACCAGTCTTGTCCAATAAGCCATTATTTTCTGGTGTGCAGTTTTGGACTGGATACTGTACTGTTTGTCACTAGTTCTTGTTTCCCTGTCATATATAGCCTGTTGATTGTGATGTTTAGTGTGTTAAGAGTTTAAAGATGGTGAAGCCACAGTTGTTAAATATTTATGCCCAGTGTTTCACTACTATTGTGTGCAATGTAGTTTTAAAAGCAAGAATGTTTAATTTATACTTTTAAAAAGATTAGGCACTTATATATAAATGTAAAACTATATATAATGTAAACCAGGTACTGTGCAAACAAGATTTTAATATTTTTGTACAAATATTATCCGAAACATTCCTACTACCAATTATATCAGCTATATCTTTACAAAGGGTAAAATTTTGTATCCCATAGTAAGATAAGGTAATATTTTTGAAAAAGTTGGGAGTTATTAAATCAGTCTATTTTATCTTTACTGTGATATAAACACTGTAGACCTTCAAATAATAATACTGTGAACAAAATTATCAACTTTTGAGACCAGTACTCTTTAAATTTATTTGTATCCTGTACTTCAGAAATCTATATTTTGAGCAGGTCAACAACTCATATTAGAACAGCTCTGAACAATTATAATCTGGTATGACCGCTATGAAAAGAGAATAGTTAATAGAGGTATAGTGTATTGTTGTTATTGAAAAATTAATGTTTATTTCATCACACCTATCACATACATTATTGGAAAAGTTCCGGAATGTCAGTCCAGTTTACAATATACAAATATATAATATACAATTCAGTTTTATTTATAGTACATCATAAGACAAAAATAAATAAAAAAGAAATCAGTGAGGGATTAAAAGATAATTACCCGCAATTACCTAATTATTACTAATGTAGCATGGGGATATTTCCGACAAAGGAAAGGTGAAACTTTTGTCTTTAGATAATCACCCAAACCTGTGAGATCTCAATTCGCTAACAGTGCAGATGAAATAACAATAAAAAAAACTAAATAAAATATGAATTAACAGTTTTCTTTGGGCCACAGATATGTCTAACCATCTTGGGGGAAACTGTACATTAGGCATTATGTCTTGGTAATTGATAATCTTGGATACCAAATACAAGTAGAACAGTTTCTCCTTCAACCAGGACATTTTCCTAAAACAAAATCTAATATGAGCTTTCAGACCCTTATTTCTCAAATCAAAAATAAAAGATGATTAGAATTTGACATACCCTGCTTAGTTTAAAAAGATTGGTTTAAAATAACCATTCAAATTAAATGAAAAGGCCAAAAGAAAGTTGACAGACTGTGCACTCCATTGGGATTATTGTATGATTATTGATAATAGGAATGTTACCCAACAACAAAGGAGCTGTTATTAAAATCAAGCCAGTCCTTCAGGAGTTACTAATCAGAGCTGTCTTATTTAATATCATTTTTATACCAATATTGCTCTTAGACTATATGTTGTAAATAGAAACACCTGTTACCACCTTCATAACTGAAGGTATGGAAGAAAAAAGCAATTGTAATTGTGGGTGACCTATTGGAGTCCATTTGAGTTTGTCTAGCTTTGACATGTGGGATTTAGCAAGCGAATACCCCTCACTGTGCAGTTTTTACATTATCAGCGCACAACTTGCCGACAATCCAGAGAAATCATTTGTTCATTAAAAGCCAATTTTTGTGTTTGTTTTGTGTTTGTTTTAACTTTTTTTTTTGGTCTCTGTTCCTTTGTATTTGTTTTATTAGATGAAATGGTGCAGATTTTATTTCCGTTTTTGTAATACTGTTTGCCCCTGACTTCAGAATATGCACTTTTTAAGTTTTAGACTCGTGGCCCCATTTATCAAAGATGATTGATGATAGTGATTTTTTTGTTATTTGTTATACTTGTCTATGTTATACAAGCTCTCAACCTGGATTCCAAATTGCCCATTACTTTTTTCTTTTTACTAGACTGGTACCTCACATTGTCCACACCCAAGCATAGTGTATTGTAATTGTAAAAAAAACACAATCTTGATAAATGAGGCTCATGAGCTACATAAGAAGAAGCCTGGTACAAAATTACTGCCATTTCTGCCAAAATTCAGCAGAATATACCTTGTAGATATTGTATCATATGGTGTACAAAATAATTTAGAATATATAGTAGTTTATTTTATATGACGTAAAATAGATTTAAATACGTTTATAAATGTTATATGATTTAAAAGAGAAAAACAAGTATTTTGTAACAGAATAATTATTGAAGTGTCTTATTGGAGGAGGTGCAGTCTTTCTATTGTTGAGGTCCGCAAGTCCACAAAATCAGTGATGGGCAACATACAGTATTGCTTGTCTCTTGCTGTACAGGTACCATCAAAATAAGCTTTAACATGTTAATATTGTTTAAAAGCCGTTTACATTCTGGAACAGGTGGAATATTAACTGTGGACAGCTGTTTACAGTGATGTTAAAATAATTTCAGAAGTTTAATTTGAATAATGTGGTAATATCTATAAAATAAATATTTCAGGAAGAAAGCATCTTGTGTTGCTTTGAAGTTTTATTTTTATAAGGTCTGTGTTAGTCTAAGAATTAGAAAAAGATCCGAGACCTATTTGTAACGAAATCAAGATAAATTGTGGCAGTATGCTTCCAAAATAAAAAAAACCTGTTCATCTTTATGAATGCTATAAGAATATACTCTTCAATTTACATATCACAAAGTGAAAACAAGAAATGGATCACTGAATCAATGGCCATAGAGAAACTATGTAAATATTTATATAAATCGAATTTAAAACATTTATTATTAGTTAACCATGTATGCAGCAATATTTTCTAAAAGAAATATTTGAAAATTGATAGTAGATGGTATTCAAGTGTACCATCAGCAGCGCTCCTGAAGTCTAATGCTGTCATATTGCTCAAGTAAACACCAACTGAATGAACTGAATGGAGGTTCACTTAATGAGAGACATTGCTTGACTCACTAATCACAGGGCAGGTGTGTACAGACTTATTACCTAGCTAAATTTGTAAATGGAAAAAATTCAGCAACAGATGGTAAGTTCTGTTCCCAAGAACTATATTGCATTACCATGTTGGTTACATACAGTAATAATGGATCTAAAAATGAAACACACCTCTTTTAATAACCTGCCCTTTGTGGCATGTACTGTACTTAAACCTATTTATACCCAAGCTTACAAGGGCAATGGGCATAGCCCAGCAATTTCAAGGACAAATACTTTCTGCTTACACAGTCCAACTGCACATCATAAGTTATAGTCTTGCTTTTTAACATGGTTCAATTAAATAGCATGTATACATATACAGTAATAGTGATATGCCAGCAGCTATATCACCCTGCAACTTACTCAAGCAACACACTCAAGCTCAGCAAGTGTGAGTTTTTACCTGGATGAGAGACCTGGGAAAGTTTGCTGCTGGAAGAGGTGTTAGTGGGGCCAATAGGAGGTACTCACCCTGCGGTCTGTGTGGGTCCTGAATGCCCCAGTATAGTGACAGGGACACTACACCTTAAAAAGTCCCCGACTCTCTGTGGTCATTAAAAATCCCAGGGATTGTCCTGGCTAAATTTCCCCCGGCCTTTACCAATCATATTCCCCATCTATCAATTGGCTTCATCATTCTGTTCTCCTCCACACTAATAGTGGGTGTGTGGTTCGAGCGCACTATGGCTGCTGTCGCATCATCCAGGTGGATTCTGCACATTGGTGGTGGTGGAGGGGATCCCCATTACCTGTAAAGCGCTTTGAGTGGAATGTCCAGAAAAGCACTATATAAGTGTGAAGAATTATTATTCATTTATTGTAAAATAAGACATCATTATATGAAGAATCCACCATCAGAAAAATAGGAATCACCATTTGAATATAACGTATAAATGCCTAAGCTCAGCCATACTGAAGACACCACTATAATATGCGAGAATTTCAGCCAATGCATTTGTTCAGAAACTAACAATTTACTGGCAAATTAGCTAGGGATAAAATGGTTCATGGAGATGCTCAAAAAGTTATTTCCATTGCACATAGACACTTGATGTATTGATATATATATATACAAGTTATATTGCATGGTACAATTTTCTTTTGCCTTATACTGTATTCATAATGTCGTATTGTAAATACTGTACATGTTGTGTGATTATTAATTGATTTACCTGGCACATACAGTATACTATATATATACAAAAAGACAACTGGCACTAAATAAATTTACACCCCAGAGGAATATCTTTAAAGAAAAGTGGCAGTTTATTTGTCCATTTTCACTACTGGATCCATTTTACATATATATCAATCTGAAAAAAAAAAACATGATATAAAGTGTTTCTGGGCACTAAAACATACTAGAGTAAATTCATTACAATATGCATAAATGCTTCAGAATACTAGAAGAAAAACAAACCCCAAAAGTGTTCTAATTATTGATTGCACAACAAACAGTATGATAAACCTTAAACTATAGGGTGTTATCTAGGGGAAAACTGGATAAATCTTTCGCATAAATAATCCATGCATCCATTTTCTAACCATTTTATCCAATTCAGGGTCACGGGGAAGCTGAAGCCTATCTCAACAAACAACGGACACAAGGCAGCATACAACATAGATGGGATGCCAGTCCACTGCAGGGCATACACAGAAACAGACACAAGCACGCACGCACGCACGCACGCACGCACGCACGCACCCACCCCCAGGGACACTTTTCCTCAGAAGCCAGTTGACCCACCAGCATGTCTATGGAGGAAACTGGAACAGCTGGAGGACACACATACAAACACGAGGAGAACATACAAACTCCATGCAGATATCACACCAGGAACCGAACCCAGAGCCCCAGCACTGCAGGGCAGCAATGCTATGTTAATTCGGTTGACTTGTGTGAAAAGTTTCATTTTGTCCACATTCTGTTCAAAGTTACCACATTTGAAATGTTCAGACGTCAACATTTTGCTGCAAAACACATTTTAATTTCCTTTTAACAGCAAAGATTATAGTTTTTTTTTTATAACCGTTCTTCCTTTATCTTTTATTGTGGAAACATCCTTGAGAGTGGTCCTAGTTTAAAAAATGCACACATAAGGACACAGCAGTTTGAGATGCAAATCACTGGAATTCAAATTCTTCAACACCCAAATAGGTAACAGCCGATTTAAAGAAACTGAAGGTACAGTAACAGTCTCCTTCCAGCTTTACGATTGTTCATTTAAAATGCCTAAAAAATCTTAGTTTCAAACACTGCTTTATTTTTTAAAAAAAAGCATCTATTTCAAAGTCAGGATTATGCGACTTGTTTTTTTGCAAATTATAACCACTGACACTGCTTATTAGTGTGGATGATAGCTTTTGTTTCATAATTACACAGCTCTTTCATGCACCGATAAAACATCACCCTTCACAAGTTTAATCATACAATAGCTCCAGGACTACCATTGATCTGTCAAAAAGATTCTAGAAATTGTTCTACAATTAAGTTGCTGCCAGGTTTAGTGTTTCACTATGAAATTACTTAAACTCGCTGAAGATCTTACTTTGTCTACAGGCCTCAAGTTTCAAAAATTAAAAAAATAGATTAATCTAAGTTAAGTCTAGACTAGTTTGCTTCATATTTCCATTTTAAATTACTGCATATAATACTCATTCAATTTGTACATCCTACTGTTCTCAATATAAACAAATTATATATGCTCTCATAAATATTTCCTAATTCATGTTAAATGATGTTTCACTAGTGATATAAGTAGGCCATCTTTTTTCCTATTAAGACATCTGAAGATAAGGAAAATATATTATTTAAGTTTTTCTAGTTTCTGTGCTCCTATAAATACATTACCACAATTAGGAGCAACATTTCTAAAGCTACAATATCATAAAATCAATCTATACAGGTGTACTGTATATTACAGTTCCTTTCATGTTTTTGCTATTAGCCAGAAAACTATACAGTTGTGGTGTGCTTCAGAAAACTGAAAGATAAAGATAAAAGACAACGAGACCCCAATAGCTTCAGCAGAGGAAATACGTAACTACATTGATGAGGAAGACATAAAAAAAATGATGTCTGGGTGTTTTCTGTGGAAGCACCAGGTCTCAGAAATAAGGGGATACTCCATCTTGTTTCTGTACGGCTGTCTTCATACTTAACCACATATGTTTCTGCATTTTACTTTACAAAACCTGGAGCAAATCTTGGAAAATGCCATATTTAATGGGATCAAAATGTTTATTTTTATGACATACACTTGATTTACTACATTTTCATACTAAAGAATATAAGAATTATAAAGTAAAAACAAAAGAGTTCTCTATTTGTATAGCCATTTTTCTGATAAATACCTTATATTTCTTTTGTATTAGACTGCAGATGTTCTCCCTATCTAAAGCACTGAACTATAAGTGCAAAAATGTGACACTCCTAATTCTACATGCTAGTCAAACTTTCTTATAAGTGGTTCATTTGTTAAATTTAACACATTTTTCCTCCTGACTACACAGAAGGTATTAAAGTCTTCCTATTCAACACAATTTAGTAGATGTAGACTTTCTACATATAATGTATTATTTGGCAGTATGGTTCACACAGACATTGCGAAAATAGTCTTAGAAACCAGCTGTCTAGTTCTGTATGAGGGTACAACTTTTTAAAGTATCAAACATTGTTCAACTAACATTTTTAAATTATATTTTCTTCTCTTTATGAGACTAATATACAATAAATATAAAAGTATATGTACTACTTGAAAGTGAGCACTCTTACTGGGACACTTATAGAGGTATGTAGTATTGTCTGTAAAGCTGGAATACGTTAAAATACAATTTCAGAAAACGCTCGCATTGACACAGTGAAAGTGGTTTCTGTAGTTTTAGTTATACCCTTCTGTTTTTTGTTGTGTGAATATTAATGATGGATATCATCAGACAACTCATTTAATTAGCATAACAAAGTTGCATATTGATTAAAGGCAAACTGCAAATTGCAATACAGTTGATATATCAAGTAGTACTTTTGCATCTAGCATGATATTTGTTCTGAAGTTTTTAATACTGGTACGTACAGTACTTCAGAACATACTGTTGAATGAAACAGACTTTATTTCAAGGTCTTATCTACCACGTCCTAAACACTCCAACTGTTAATGCCTGTTTAAAAGACTGTATTTGTTTCAAAATCCATTAACCAATGCATTCTTTTTTATAAATTAATATTAAATTATAAAATCTATTAAATAATATAGTTAATAATTTTCAAGACTCACCAAACCTAATATACTACAGGAATGTTATCTGTACATGAATCCAACTTGTTTTAAACAGCAAAAGAAACATGCACCTTTGTTTGCTACAGTATTTTGAATTAAACATACTTTAGAACACATTATTGTTCCCTTCATCTAAAGTAAGAGATCAGCTCTTGCCATCTGAAGGCATAGTACTGAATTAAAGACACAACATTGTACCTTCCACAATTAAATCTGTTAACAGCCGAACAGTTACAGCACCCTTATTAAAAACTGAAACTCTTAACTTAAAGTTCACTTAACACACACTAAACACCCGTTTCTCCAATTTTTTTTCCTAATTCATTCCATTATCAACAAAATTAAGAAACGTTCAAACCGAAAGAAAAAAATCTCTTGTTAAATTTAATTTCAACAGAGGCATAGCAACACCACAACCCTCTGCATTTTGCTGACCCTCAAAACCTGCCTGAATTCTTTTTTTTTATTAAGTCTTCTAACAATGCTGCAAACGAATATCTGGCTAGCTTATCAGCAACGAGAAATTACATGCACAATCGAGCAAAACGTGTTATCAAATTAGAACTTTTAAGATGACCTAAAAGATTCTTAGGGCGATTTTAACAAGAAACTTTACATCGCTATTAAATACACCTTTCAATAATGTTTACATTAAAAAATCAGGAAAATATGTTCCTAAAGAGCATGCATAAAGAAGTGGCCAACTTTACATACTTTGTCCAAAAAGCATTTAATAAAAGCTTTTCAAAAGATCCTCTGCATTTCCCGCTTTCCAAATACCTTTCAGTGTTAAACGTACAAAGCACAGATCACAGCTGATTAATGTAGGTATTAACATGCTTTAAAACTCTCAACATTTGAACTACTGCTTTCAAACTGATATTTTTTCCTGATGCTGATAAAGGAAAGTGCCCAGATCTTGATCTTGATAATTCAGATAGGACTTTTATAGTTTTTTGAAGGTGACCCATGAATTTTCAGACCCACGGTTTCATTTCATTTCCCTGAAGGGAGAATGCCAACAGCTTGTTCAGACTCGACCAGTTGTAAGAGGTTATTGTTTTGAATTTGGTTAAAACTGGTTCTTTAAAAACAGTAAAATCTGCTCAAAACCAGTGGGGTTTGTGTATTTCAATACTCAATAATCATCCGTACTAAGGAAACCTTTGGGTACTGCTGTTTCCAAACAGGTGTTTTGTGTATTAACAAATCATTAAAGTATAAGAAAAAATTATCTTTATGCCTTTTTTGATGTTGAAATTTATTAGCTCAGTGTATGGCACCTTGACAGCGGACGACACCTTATCTATGAACCAAGTTTCAGCCAGCCAGTTTACTGTCTATTTCCCTTTGCTTTAGTTTTGGGACAACTAAAAAAACCAACAGCAATGGTGGCTTAACACATTCCAAACCATTTCCAGTCAACTTAAAACTCACAACAGACAGTACCTTAAATGGTCTGATACTTGCAAGGAGAAATGCTCCTTCTACTTTAACCAACTTTATCCCCAAATACTTGAATTTCCTTTAAAAAAACTGGTGCTGCCAACACAGCAACTAGTACAGTACGTTGTCAATCTAGTTAGCAGGTGTTTTAAAACAAGTCACCTGCCTGCTATTCACAACTGGAAAGCAAGTATCTGAGGTGTCCTGAAAAATAAAGGCTTTTATTACCTTTGTTGCCAAAACCTTTCCGAAAAAGGATAGGATTCTTGGTGTGTTTAATAAAAGGGTACATAAGGTGCATCCCTTTAACACAAATAAGTAAGAAATCATTTATGGCTTTAATGAAGGATTGGAAAAAGGATCCTTCACTTCTTGTTTTGAGCTCGGAGCTGAGCAGTCTTGGCGTGCTCCAGTTTTGCCTGGATGCCTGCGGGTTTTTCGAAGAAACGGACGATCACAGGCTCATTGAGAAGGGAAGGAAGGATCTGCTCGAAGGAGAAAGACCACTCCATCTCTTCTGGCTGTAACCCACCCTCTGCTGTGCTTGGCATGCTGGGGCTGCCTGGGGAGCTCTCAGATGGCGGCAGGGCCTTGCTCTCTGGCTGCACGGTGTCCGACTGCACTGGGGCAGCCTGGGTAAGAGTGCCAGACCCTTGCAGCCTTCTTCCGACTTCCTCCATCTTCAGTAAGAGGCTTGTGACTCGAGCGATTGCCCGGTACAGGGACTCCTCCTCTGGGTCCCCATGGAAAAGGTTGTACATCGTCTTGGAGAACTGGATGAACTGGGCCTTCAGGACATAGAGCGAGGTAGCATTGGGATTCATTCCTTAATTTAAAAACACTGGGTGAAAGGATTCATTGTGGATACCAGCAGGCCTTCAAATAACCGGGTCCATGCGAGCACTGCGCTTGCTGGGTTTCATTACAGTGGAACTCACAGCCACCTCATTGCACCCGTAATTGAAAAGATAAGCAGATTAATTGACATCTTCATTATCCTGAAATCTTAACAATAGAAGTTCATTTCAGGATAAGTGGTATAACTTGAAATGTAACATAAAGTCTACTACTTTTTAGAAACATAAAGAGAAAAGAAAAGTATATTTAAAGGCAACATACTGTAGGAAGTAGACTGACATTAAAACATGCAATATCCCACCTTTCCAAATCCTGTGTTAATTCATTGTATACCAATTACTGATTTCAAAACACCTGTATGGTAGCTCTTTGCCATTGTAGCACATGCACATTGCCAGTGGAGCCTCCTCAATCTGCACATATACCCTGAGGTGTGGCTCAGAATATACCGTCACAGACTGCCGCAGACTCTTGCCCACTCAGGCTCCAGGCACACCAGAAATTTAGAAACACTTATGTGCAACAACATGCTGCTTTAGGCCTTGCAGTTAAACAGAGGGGGGTAAAATTGTTTTTAGCTCTGAAAATGTAAATAAAGGTCTTCTGGGAAAAGATCGTGTGAATGCAAAATCCAGTTTTGTATAGAAGCAAATTCAAAACAGCAATCACTTAGAGATAGCATCTGTATTTACAGATGCTGTTATACATACTTATGCATACACCTACAGGTTACAGTAAGAACATTAAAGCTGGGACTGAAATCCCTATTTAGAAAGGGATTCCAAATCTTTATTTAGGGATTTTGTGATTTTACAGTGTAAATGTAACATACATGAACTGGTGATGTAATGACTCACTAATTGGACTATTGTTGTTTTCTGCTATATATAAAATAGAAATTTTGGCCACATGGATGTGCACATTATTTACTGCACATTGCATGAGTTATAACAATGTCATGACCATAAATGTGGACATTTTTCACCAAAAACCACACTCTGTACTTTTATTAATTAAATCAAGGTCTTTCCATTGGGTTGACATAAGCGCAAGTAGCATAAGTTTCCTTACCTGGTTTATTCTTGGCAAATCCTTAATGCTTTCTTCTTTTTTGAGGAGCTCATCCTGCCATTGTTTAAGGTAAGCCTGAAGATCGACTTTACCTTTCCCTGAAAAAAAACCAACAGAAGTGATTAGTTTAGATCAAGGATTTTCAATCCCAAGTCTCATGATGTGTAAATTCATTTGCTTACATTGTAGAAGCTTATTGTGGATGTGTTCACCTCTAATTATGTTTTTAAATTTTGATCATTCATAAAAATCTATTTATAATAATTAAAAATTGATTTATCTATAATTAATTAAAAAACTATTTTTAAACAGAGTGTCCTTACACGGGGAAATATTTCTTTAAAAGGGTTCCTTGGGCCAGAAAAAGCTGAAAATCTCTAGTTCTTACCATCAAGTACTCATTTAATCACCTGTTTGAATTACTTCATCCAATTCAGAATTGTCACTGTGCACAGCTGACTTTGTCACAGTTTAGTTTGGTGTTACTTTCACCACAATGTTTCTCTAATTCCCTGCACCCCAGACATCTTGCAATATGGGAAGTGCAGTTAATTCTGACATCTGTTAACTTGTTTGATTAAAACAAGATGACTGTGATAAAATTTAATCCACAGTAGCACTTAATAAATCTGAATAAAATTCAGATTCTGCAAATGTACTCTAGCCGTGAGTACAGTGCACTCACAGTAAGATTAATCACTTATTAAGCAAATCATTTTCGAAACTTCCTTCAGTAACAGGAATTAGAGGTACACTGAAGTAAATGTAAACATGTTCAAATGGATCACTCTCATTCATGAGTATCTGAACACTAACCTCAACAAAGAAAAAGCACGCCTACTCCCAAACTGGTCTACAAAATGTGAAATTTCTTTAATGCCGTAATAACATTTAACATAGGGCCAGCACTGGAGGAAAAAAAACTATCTGAAAGGCAGTATCGGAGATGTCTGATAGTGATATTCCTACCTGACCAGCTTCTTCCCTGTACTGACATTTCCTTTGACTTTAATTTGAAAAGCTCAGCTCATTTGCCTCCTGTTTCATGTGAGTATTATTTCTAGACACTTCCACTGCTTTGCAGCAACACTACATTTCATGAACAGCAGTACATAAAAACTGACTGTATCCGTGTATTAGAAGTATTCCTTTTTTTATAGAAATAAAATATTATAGCCATGGTAGCTGACACATGAATAACCACAAGGAATCTGTGTAATAAAAACACTCTCAAAGCCTATTTAAGCTTGATTGATTATCAATGAAAACAGCTCAGTCCAGGGCATTCTCACAAGGAACAGCTGGGCCACAAAAGACCTCAGGCCAAATACTTTCTCAATGAAAATTAACTTCAGCAGGCTTTCAAGCCATTTATGTCCTGAGCATGGATTTATTTATATCTGTGAGAGGAAAAATGTCAGCTTTATTATTTTTCTAGTTATTGAAACTATGAGATGTTCAACTTAAACTGAAAAGGGACTGTGTATTTTAATGTTAAGACCGAGTGTTCCCTGCTGCAACAACTATCAGAGAGGACGTTTTCTGTAAGAAGATTACCTCTTTCTGGGCTTTTCCTGATGACTCCATCTTCAGAAGCATCTGGTAAAGACACTGAAATGGATAAATAACTGTGTCACAAGACAAAGCAGAAAAACATCAGACTTCATCCCTATATACTGAGTCTTTCATATTGCTGCTATGAAAAATTAGGCACCAGAACTTTTGAGAAGAAATGCTAGCTTGCAGTTGGTCACCACCCTCTCATTTGTTGCTCAAATGTCAGGTTTTCTGGAACTTTGACAGGCTTTTGGTTAAGAACTATAACTGCCTTGTCAGAGATCTGACTCTTGCTCAAAAGATGGCACCTAGATTCTGAAGACTGATGTAAAAGCAACGCACAGCAAATGAAGGAAAAGAAAATGAAGCTCTCTCTCAGACAGTGAAGTGGATAAAAGCAGCAGAGGTGAGAAAAGAGAGAAACAAAGCTGACCATTCAGGCGACTCAAGTATGACAGATCTTCTTTAGAAAAGCTGTTGCCTTTTGAGAACACAGGACTCTCTGTTTCTATCTCTGTAAATGCTGAAAGACATACAGCAGTGAAAGAAAGATGTTAGAAAGGCAAGATACTGTAAGTAGAGAGAAAGGCGGAAGATTACAAGTCAGTAGCTATTAAGGACACAAGGGAATGTCCTGCTGTAGCAGTGAATGGTAAAAAAACAAGTTGGATTATTTGTAGTGTTAAAAAAACTATAAAATAGCCTAAAGGTTGAGACAGTTTGCGATAGATACAGACAGTAATTCGACTGAGCAGAAACAGTAAAGTACCAATACTGAAACTACCATTTAATGATAACTTGACTTTTATTATCCTGATTTTTGGAGTGACAGATTTACCTGGTGGTAAATGTATCTTGAAAAGGAATTTCAGTTTTTCCGTAAATGTTCCGCTGTATGTAACATCTGTAAACACAAAATAAACATACAAAGGGGGGCTGATGCTATTGTTACTATAGTGATGGTGTATCTGTAGTTCACTAATTTAGACCACCCACACATCTCAACGTCCCCACATTACTTTATAGCAGATTTTTGTTTGTCAGTGGCCTTGAAGCTACTCAAAGTCTATTAGCCACTGCAACCCAAAAAATTGTTCTGGAACTTTATCTTGATAGCAGTACTGTACATGTTTTTGTTATGATATCCAGTAATATTTCTTATAGCAGATTTCTTTAGAATAAAGAGTCAAACACAAACCAGAGGCCTCAAGTAGAAACCGCTGAATGAAAGCCTCAGATCAATTAACTACTAAGTACCAAACGGGCCAGATACGAACATGGTTACAAACAACAGGGTGCCATTCAGCCCTTCTTATGTTTAGAGAACTCAAGAATGTAGGTCAATGGACTCCTGTTACCCAGGGCACAGCAGAATTCTTTGAAGTTGATAAGGCCATCTTGATTTTCATCTAGGAGGCGGAACGTCCAGAGAGTAAGGGCATCCAGGTTGGCACAATGGGCCCAGGGACTCAGAAGGAGGAAGAGGGCACGGAACTGGTGGTGACTCAGCTGGTACTGCTCGAGATATGGCAGGCTGGGGTCATGGTGCAGGAGGATGGGGCTGTTCATCGTCCAGTAACAACTCAGGAAATGCTGCCTCTGTATAAAGCCGAGACCCATGAAACAGACCACATGCTAAAACCACAAGCACAATCAGATTTAAGGCTCTATGAAATTTGACCAACTGCATGGACATCAAGAAATTGGCCAAATACCATGGACCGCTTTTACTTTTTTGAAGTATTCCTGTTTCAATACATAGATGAAGTCTTTTGTACAAACAATCCTTAACCAGAACTTCCACAATCACACATCATATTAATCCTCATGGATATTGAGAGAAAGTGGTCATTCTTTCATTGACATCATTGTGTTATGCTCAATATACTATACACATAGTGTAATACAGGGCAAAAGTAAGGCAAGGTGATGGAAAGTTAAGTGTATTGGCAACTGATCATACAAAATAGTATCCACCAGGAGCTTTACATAGAGAATGAAGTAAGCTCTTCAGAACTTCCTGTAATTTCACTGTGTATCATTCCTGAAAAGGATGGATTCTAATTTTCATCAAAAGAGGCTAAAGCTGAAACTGTAGCTCCATCTTACAAACCGCAGTGACATCCTTGTTACAAAGATCTACTTGAAAACAGACACGCATGAAATTCCCTAAACGTTTGACATCACAGAAGCCTTTGCTTGTACATACATCCTATTTGAAAAGTTGGACAACCAAGAGTTACCTGAAAAATTTGAAAGAACAGGAACTGAAAGTTTGTGTTTTTTTTTTGTGTAGTAACTGATAAATAACATGTTAATCTGTAGAGTCAGATGTTTTTCACCCAGCATTGTGGAACTGGCTAAGCCAAATCACTTGTCTGTTGTCCAAAATTTTAATGCTGAGCATTCCAGCACATGGACAGCTCCAAGGAAAGCCATTAAAATAAACACAGTGAACCAGCTGATACTCAGTTTTGATAAGAAAATATTTAAAAGCCTTACTGAATAGTCTTACTGATTTTCAGGTTTTTAGTTCTCATTCATCATGTCAAATTTTGCATTATGGTTAGGGTAAACCACCGCCATCTACCTGTCTTGTTACAAAACTCTGCTGGCATCAATCATTTTAAATTTCTCATTAACTGGCTAGATAACAATGCCATTACAAGTATAAGACATGAAAGGCTTTCATTCATACCTTGAAAAGATTGTAAAGGTCTTCCAGTTCAGTTGAACTAAACTTCACCTCCTGAGACACAACTCTTAACTGAAAAATAAGTTACATTATATTTTCAGAAGCTTTTGGAAACAGTGTATTCAATCATCAGAGGGCACAGACAAACCAACTCTACACAAAACGTTCATCATTTTTATGAACAATATGAAACAGCAAGCTATTACAAGCTGACAGAATATAAGCGAAAACATCTGGAATTCCTGTTCAGATGTTTAAATATTCTACTGTTCCCAAATAGCTCTTAAATTTCAAGAATTTTAATGGTAACAGGAGCATATATTACTTACAACATTTTGTTTTGTTGTGTCTTCTAAAGTCTGGATCACATACAGTTTGTTTCTTCTCCTCATGCTCTCCACTTCCTCAGATCGAATGCCACCATATTTCTAAGGATTACAGTGTTCTTTGTAAGCATTCAGCATTAAATTACTTATACTTATTCAGAAAAGTACACAGTTTAATTCAGACTGCTCCATTTTAACACACTGTTGATAGTTTTGAACTATAAATTTCATTCAATGGACAGCTTTAGCACTACCTTAATGATTTGTGCCATCAATTTAGAATCACCAATTATTTTCCATTCTATCCATCTGTTTTGGAATCACCACTCCAGGCCCGGCTTGTGACTATAAATCCTGCACACAGAGGAGAATGAGGAAGTGCAGGAAGACTCCTCCAACCTGCCCAAGCCAATCATCTTGTTAACACATATTTTTTTGATAGTCTGGCTATGAAGAATATGACACAAAAAAGTCTGGTTTGGTATCTGAAGACCCTCATCCACAAAGATTAAAAAAAGATACATGGAAGTAGTATCCTGATGGAAGTGTGTAACAATGACGACCACGTTTGGCTCTACAAAGGTGAATTTGAATGAATACTGAAACACAAGACTACGAAACTACAACATTCAGAATAAAATGAAGATTAATATAAAGCTTATATTGTACAATAAAAATAAGCTAGAGCTATTTTGCAATGAGGTTTACATGCTTTTATTTTAGTTTTAAAACTCTGTTATAAATCTTTAGGAACATCTGGACTTAATGCTAGCCTCCGTTCTCTTTCCAAACAGCCAGGTCAGCCTTTACAGAAAACAATCCAATTGATCAAAAGGGTATAGTACCTCATAGGAGTCTTTGATAAGGTCAGTGATATCCACTCTGGGATGAGACTTATTCCCATCGCTCCCTACAGGAGCCTGTTGCAGCACAGTAGCTGGCAAAGGGCTGTCCTTGTTGGCAACATTGTCAAAGAACCTGAAAATGAGATTTTATTAGAGATACGAAAATAAAAGCAGTGAGTCGAAAATATATTGTAGCAGATAAAATGACAGTTATGTAGTGTGGCATTTTACTCTACAGTACATAATGCTATGATGTAACATTAACCATTATGTATACACCTACTGTGATTCATCTTCTACAATGTCAAAAGTACACTTGCCTTCTAAAATCACCTTACTGATTTGGCGTAACAGCAGAGCTGACAAAACAAGTACTATCAAAAAGTCCAGAGAAGGGAAGCAGTATCAAGGAGCCAAAAGTGCCTTACTTGTTGAGAACAGTGACAGCCTCAGCATCATCACGGCAGGTGAGCAGCCGGTCCATGTTGTAGTCCAGCACAGCCAGCCCCAGCTGCAAGATGGCCTTGATGCCATCGTAGAAGAAGCAGTCCACTACATTCACGGCGCTCTCGATGGGTAGCACGCTGATGAACAGAGTCAGGAACCAGGACAGCGACACAGACGAGAAGAAGGTCATGTCTGTCATGTGTTCAGTCAGCTGGGACAGGCGCTCCCTGATCAACTCCTCAAACACAGCCTGATCCACTAAGGCTCCTGCAGGCGCACACATTTGTGGAACCGTGTGACTGACAGCACAGCACACCAATCAGCTCAACAGGAAGAACTTCTTAGCAGTGCCAGACACACATAGTAACAGTAAAGTCTGTCTACTTTGGCTCCAATGGAGGGATGAGGCTTCTTTAAATCATCTCCTTGGAATCAAAATAGCAATGAAATACGAGATAAAAAGATACTTTTCTTCTCTCTTTCCAAGCCATTTACGATTAAAAAAAAACCTTGGAGTTAAGATCGTAAAAGCTGTACTGCCTACCTGTAGGTTTTTTGCAAGTTATTTAGACACATTTTTGCAATTCCCTAGTGTGGTGCACAAATTATTAGGAATCTGGTTCGATTTGCTAAGCAGTTTATTCTATAGGCACATAAAAAGGATCTTCTATCTGCAAAACAAGTGTAAGCCAAGCATGTGTGCACAAGCACACAACAGAAAAAGTTACAAAGCACACTGGCTAAAGATTACAACCAATTCTAAAACTGGAAAAAAAGAACAGTGCAGTAAGGAGATAAACCGATGCAATACCTGGTAAGTTTACCTTTACAGCCCTGGAATGAAACTGCCCACTTACCGATGATTCTCCGGTTGAAATAGTCTGGCAGCATCCTCTCACATACTGCCACCAGCAGCCAAAAGGCCTCCTCTTCTTTTGCATACAGGAGCAGGACTGATGTGAGAATGTTCATCGCCTTCACCAATCAAAGACAAAAACGAATGAACAAGAAACATCTCCTGACAAAATGCCGCTTCATGACATAGCTTTAGAAAATGCAAACCTCCAGTCTTCAATTTGGAGCAGTTGTGGAACGGGGTGGGGTTACCTGACAGTATCCAATTTTGGGGTTCCTGTAGGCGTAGGCCGTGAGCACCCTGCGCAGGGCGGAGATCCCCGTGTCGCTCTGAAAGGCGGGGTGCTCAGGGAGAGAGCGGTGCAGGTCCCTCTCGATCTCATCGGTGGCCAAGGTGCACGTGCCCATAGACTTCTCTACCAGCTCAGTGTAGTAACCAGGGTGAGTGGCCATATCATTGACAGCACCTGGGAGATATGAAGAAATCTCTGACTGAAGAATCCTATTTCAATTTTCACTACATTTTACACTTAATTTGACTACATTAACGAATGCAGAATTTCCTTCAGACCTACTGTAAGGAAAATTGTTTAAAAGCCCTTGGGCTTTTAGATGAAAAAGGAAACCTGCATGGTTGGAAACATCTTTCATTTCACAAAGTCAGATTTTAAATAAACCCCAGAAGTCTATTTTTACTTTCCATTAGGTAGCCAAGACCATAGAACAGGTATCAGTGTTATAAACTCCCAGTGCCAGTGAGAGTAAACTACTTGCTGTTATGATCATATACTGGCTTTGAAGATGCATATACTGGAACACAATGGCTGCTGGCAGTCATTCAGCTAGTTTCTAGAAGGATTTATCTGTTCAGCCAGAATGAGCACCTGAAAATAGCAGCCACAGCTCTCCTCGTAAGGCTTCGGGAACACCACGGACAATGAGGTCACGGGTCTTCTTCGTGCGGAACATGCTCATTCCCCGACCATACTCTGCAAAGTGAATGTTCCACGACTGCTCCTTCATCTTCTCTTTAAGCTGTTAACACATCAATGAAGGATGCAGCAAGACACATCAGTAGCGTAAAGTACCTGTCAGTACATTTTGCAAATTCTGACAAGAAAAAAAAAAACAGTATTTATTATGTCTTTGTTTAGCTCCACTGGGCAGCTGAACTTCAGTTCTTCTTGTAAATACAACCTGGAGCACTAGAGGGTACTACTGAGCACTTTCCCAACACTGCTATCTTCCTCATGCATTGCACCTGTAGTTGTCACACAAGGGACAATGAAATAATACAATTTACCTTCACGTCTCCAGCATGTTTTGTGTATTGTGTACCCAAGCATAATGCAGTGCTTTCACTTTATATTGTTTGTTCTAGTCAGTAAGGTAAAATAACTTCAAATTTCTAAGGGATTAACCTTTTCCTTTATTATTAAGAAATGATAGTTTTTAAGTTGATTGCTTTCTGTTACTAATATAATATAGGAGTACCTACAAATATGACTTATTTTTGTGTCACTGGTCCCTGAGGTCTTATTATGTACATGTAACCCACAGGCAAAACGTTGACCAGAGATATTTCTTATGGAAAATCCTTAACTGCTATAAAATCCACCTCCTTACATTTTATAACATACAACTCACCAAAATGTCTTCATTTTTCAAATAATTTTCAATTAATTTGGAAACAGTCATTTTATCACCAAAACGAAGTTCTCAATATTTGTAAAATACTGCAGGTATAACAAATCACTACAATGCTGTAGCTGATGAATGTAACTGGATTAGGTTTGTCTTTCAGTGGTTTGAATCGATGTCTTCTCATGTTTGTTCCTGGAAACTAAAGGGTATAAAAAGGTCGTAGGGACTATAAAGCAAGATCATTTCAAAATCAATAACACAGAATAAATAGAATGCACTAGGCAGAATTGAGAGGGAAGTCCTCATCTCACTCTGATTTGAAAGTAATATGATTATGGGACAGTTAAATTAATTTGGTGCCACAGTCATCTGAAAATACTTAAGCAATCCAGGAGGCCCGGTCTTTCTGAGCAAAACATTGCTAACTGAACAATACAGCTGACACAAGACAAAAAGAGCTGGCATTTTCTGCTGCATTATTTCATGGAAGTAAATTCAAAAGACTTTGGGTGCATTAATATGGCATTGAAATAACCTGGCATAGAGTAATTTATTTGAGCACAAGGCTGTGTGTGCACCCTTTGCATCTTAGATAAAATAAGTTGTGATTTTCAAAAGCCAACATGTATTGTGCATAAAAAAATGATAAGCCTCATGCACAATCTTGCTCCAGCTGTCACAGAACATAAGGTGAAAGCTACAGGGAAATGCATGCAGGGTAATTACAGAAAACCATCGCTGTTTTCCCCAAGAACGAGGAATTGAACTCTACTCAGTAAATCTACCGTGTATCACACTTGGATAGATCTTTCAGGTCCATCAGCCTATTTTAACATACCATTTTGGGATCCAGGTTTTCTGCATCTTGCGGATGGAAGACCGTCATCAGGGCCTCCGTGCTAACGGTCTTGCTTGTGCCTTTCTGTCCCACCATCAGAGCTACCTCCTCAGGATTGTCCTCAAAATGCTCAATGAGACTCTGACAGGCCTCAGTGATCTGCTGAGGTATGAAAGGTGCTCCATTCAGCCTTTGGGCAAAATCCCTTTCCACCATCAGGGAATATAAGTGATATGTTCTCACACAGATCTTGACAGTAGATGAATATGACATGAGAGTATGTGGGTGGATGAAAATTGATCTCAAATGATTGAAATTCTTAACATTATCCACATTGTCACTTAACATTATCTGTATTTTTAAGAAAGATTAGCACTGGAGCAATAAAAGATATCCCAAATCTCTACCGAGACAGAACGGATGGTTTATCTTTTTGTTAAAAGGCATTAAAATTAATTAATTTCAGCTCAAGATACAAGATTAGTTTTAACAGGCACCCTCTGTTCCGGATTTTAATATACTGTTACATGATCTCTCAGTGACAACACTATTTTTAATGATACACTTAACTAGTGGCGAGCATTTCAAGGTGTGTTGCAAATGCAAAATAACAGAAGATAATCATGTTCTAAGAACCACAAAACACAGACCAAAGCACTGCCATTAGTTTAACAATTAAATAGCGATATTTCTATTTACAAGACATACAATTCACAGGGGATGATTAAATGATTAAATATTCCTTTCGTTTTTTAAATACAAGATTTATCTACCAGCTTTAGAGGATTCACTGTGCATGGCTGCCACTCTCAGATCTCAGTGTTGGAGAAGGATCGTCATGTTGGCACACTTTTAAGCATGCAAGTCCAACTCAAAGCCAAAATCCACATGAATTTAATGACTAATGAAGAGATGGACCAGGGTCTCCTCTTTCTTTGACAGCCTTAATTCCCTCATGCACCTGTTGCTAAAGGAAGTTAATATGCATCGACTCACTGCTTCAGTAAAAACAGTATGTTTCTAGATGATGGGAAAAACCTTTAAAATGCCATTACAACTTAGCCATTTGAGTTTGGCTTGAAAAAGGAAAAACTACTAATTTGGCAAAGCAACTGTTCAAATAATTGTGGACTAGGAGGAAGAGCAGCTAATCATCGCGTGACTCAGACAGCCTAACAGTGCTGCTGCCTGCACAGGCTGGCTGAGCTACACAAGCCATCAGACATTGGTTGTTAAGCAATGTAATTATATATGATACAGTGAGAAGATTTGTATGTTGGGATCCTAAAATGGATTTTGTGTTGAATCAGTGTCAATCCAGACACAATTCATCATCTTTGAACTACAGTGAAAGCAAAAGGATGTTCGGATTTTTCTTGGCACTCACCCTTGCAGCCTGACTTTTCCTTTCTTTGTAAAGGAGAAATCATGACTGTAGAAGGTACTATATGTGCAGATTTAGGACTGAAAGCCCTCAAAAGGGCATCCAACTGGTAATCATACTGTACAAGTGGCAGGCCTGTCTGAAAGCAAGGATGAGCGAGCGGATCAATACCTCTCTTGTGCCGCTGTGCTGGGGGCTGGCTGCTGTCCCACACCTCATCCGGATTATATAGGCAAGGCGCTCAAAATCCCTGACCTCTGAGAAGCGGACAGCTCTTTTCCCCCTGACACACACAGTCAATGCTTTGTTCGCACTGTCCGACTTCTCCACTCCAACAACCTGCCAGGATGTATCTCATTAAAACCAGGAAAGATCCCTTCCAATCCCATGAAAATGTGCTTCGTACAGTTCTGGTCTCATCACAGTCATGGCAGACAGTATTTGGGAAGATTTCCACTAGTTTTTACCTCAAGCCGATAAGGTCTCATTATGGAAAAAGCAAAGGATGTGAAAACCATAACAGCATACTAACAAAGATTTAAATGTCAAAATTTTATTTTTTTAAAAAAGAAATATGTAACCATTCATTTCTATCACTTAATATGTACAGTATTCCATTCATATATCAATCTCCAACCTTTACAGAATTACAGTTCTTTAACATGGGACATGGACTAACCTATGCTGTAGAAAACAGTGTAAAATGCCATTACATGGGCTAAAAAAATAATGAGAAGATCAGGCCCGTTTGGTCATTAGTTGCTTATTGATCTCATCTAGCTATTTCCTAAAGCAGACCAAAGAATGTTTGCCTTAAACCACATGACTGAGAAACTTGTTCCATACTCCCACAAGCCTTTGGGAAAAGAGGCGCCTCTTGTTCTCAGTTTTAAAAGCAATTTCACACCATTTCCACTTCTGTTGTCTGGTTGGCGATTCACTGTTCATTTAGAAGCTCTCTGAATTGGCTTTGTCAGCACCTCTGAGTATTTTGAATCAAAGGAAATATCCATAAAATCATGGTCAGAAAGGCACAAAAAAAGTCCAGATATCTTGTGCTGTCCAGGAGGGCATCGAAAAAACAGCTTCTTACCTCTCGCACGGGGATGATGACGTAGCACTGGCTGCCGTCCTGGCTTGCAAAGCAGAGATAGTTCTCGGAGACGCAGATCTTGCCCAGGGTGTTGAAGTGGCTAAAGGGAACCCACAGGAAGCTCTCGTGGACCTCCAGCAGGTTCTCCTCTCGCGGCAGCCGGAAAAAAGCCCTGAACTGCTCGTTCCGGGCCCGCGTCTCCAAACCTCTGGGGGAAAGAGGGTGAAGGGGGAATGTAAACGAAGAAATGAAGCTGGTCACCAAGAATACCTCATGTGAGCAGAGTAGCAAACAGAAAGCTAAGATCTGTAAATCCCCAAATACGTAGTATTGTGCTATGACTTTACGGGGGAACAGGTAAAGGTTCATTCCATCCTGAAAGGAAAGAAAAGAACATAAACACATCTTTTTGACTGTGGAGCCTTCTTCAGGTGTCATGGTCCCATGTTGGTTCTGTGGTGTAATGGTTAGCACTCTTGGCTCTGAATCCAGTGATCCGAATTCAAATCTCAAAGGAACCTGAACTTTGACACCTGAATAAGGCTCCATAGCCAAAACGTTGTGTTTCTTTTCTTTACTTTTTAGCATGGAATGAACCTTTACCTGTAACTTTGCAGCTTATGCACGTGACGCAGTCCCCTACTCAAAAGCCTTTGCATAAAGCTCCGAACAGGAGCATATGAATAAATACAAATGTTTAATTTTATTTCTCTCAGTACTCTCAACACTATAAGGCAGTATTATTAATTATTTAAATCTGAAAAACATCCCTTTCTTACATTTCAAGAAAAAACACTGAGGCAGTATGCAGAGCTGGGTTTCAGGTATATACAAGAAAAGGCCTATTCACTGACTGAACTGACATTCCTTCACATACAAGTCAATGCCATGATTTCTGTACCTCTTTGTGACCTGAAGAGGGTCACTAAGAGCAGGATCTCCTTCGAAGGTTTCCTTGTCAAACAGTCTCTTGATGGCATAATCGGCCAACTGCTCCATCAGCAGGAAGGTCTCATTGAGGTGCAGGAACATAGAGAAGTAATGGTCTTCCCCCCGTGCAAACACATGAATACTCTCAGTCAGGATCACATTGGAGGTCTTCTCCAGTTTCCATATTTCATCCCATGAAATAATGAACTTCACTGCCAAAGAAAACATGTTATTAACGTTTTTCCTCTATTCTACATTATTGCCACCTACTAATTAATAAGACAGAAACCATATCTGGATACCAATCATAACCCCAATAAAAAGTGTATTTTGTGAGATTTAAAGAAAATACAACTAAAGAAAAGGATCACTTGAAGAAATGTGAAGTAGAACTGCATTCTCTGCTCACCCTCAGATCCAAGCAGAAAGGAGTAGAAACTGAGGAAGTTGGTGCTGAGATAGAGCCAGCCCTGACAGGGCACCCTCCCCCTCCAGTAGCTGCAGGAATAATAGGTAACAAGCTTCTCTTTTTCCGGCAGGCCAAACCACTTCTCGAAACGCAGCAGAGCCTCCCGGAACTTCTCAGGATCTTCTTCTTTCACAAGAGAGCTTTTTCCTTCCTCTGCTATCAAGCCCTGTGAAATGAACAGAAGTCCCTTTTAAAAAAAAACAACATACCAGACTGAAGCCTTGCGCACACTGCACATCAAATAAGATGGATAGCAGACCAAATGCTCATCCATTCAATCATCTATCTATGTAACCATTGATCTTCCAATCTAGCCAATCACACATCCCTCTGCATATCGGTCTGTCCATCGATTCACCCATTGGCCCACCCATCACCCATCGGTCCGCCCATCACCCGTCCCTCTGCCCATCGATTCACCAGTAGGTCCGTCCATCAACCGTTCCTCCACCCATCCATTGGTCTGCCCATCATCTATCAGCCTATTGGTTCTCCCATTATCCGTCCCTCTGCCCATCCATTGGTTCGTCCGCCCATCCATCACAGAGTTTACACACAGTGTAGTCAATTACCATATACATACACACTATTTTAACAATTTAGCAGACATATGAGGATATGTTGTAAAGAGTCTGCATAAAGAGGTCCTTATTAAAAATTCAAGTAAAAATACTTTGAAGAGATTTAACCTACTCATTATTAAGCAACGTATTTTAATAAGAAAATAAAAATAAAAAAGTCAAAAGATTCAGTTCAGCTAAAGAAGCTCTATTCGTGTAAAATAGTATCTACTATTTTATCTACAACTGAGATCTAAAATACTTAAATCAAAAAAGAAACCCACTCTTATTTTTCCCTGGACGAAGCTGGTGATGTCTTCGCTGGAATCAAAGACCGAGAGCGTCCTCATGACATTCTGCTCCAGCCACTTCCAGTGTTTGACAATCTCCTCTCTGGTGGCACCTGAGTGAAGGAGAAGGTTAGAATTTCATGTGAAATCCTTTTGAATCGGTTTATTTTCTACACACTCTAACACAAACAAAAGAAAGATGTAGAATTGTGTGCCCTCTTTGAAATGATCACCTTGCTTTAGGATTATTTAAAATGATTCAGTGCAATGTTAAGAGTAATAAAAACAAGTAGGTTAAAGAGCACTTTTAGGTTAATACCACTAGTTGACCTTATGGTTTCCCCTGAGGTTATTACAGTAGCATGAGATGCCTGAGACAGCTTTTGAAGCAATAATTTACATCACTGCCTTGAGGTACCCTCAGGAGCATGCTATTTACTTTAGAACAGGGGCCAAAGACAAGGAGATTTTGAAAAGCTGACACAGCACAGCAATTCCATTTGTCAAAGAACCAGTGTATTTACTGGGGCAAAGGGGCTATCAGAAAAGCAGTGATGAAACTTCTGCCTCCGGGTAAATGAGTTCCTTACCAAATGCAGTAAGTCATGGCAGTGGATCAATAGCTCAGATTTCTATACTCATTTTCCAAAAACATAACATGGCCAGCTTACAAAATAGCACCCTCATAGTTTTAACACTGTAGTATAGAAAATTAGGAAAAAAAGAATGACAAAAGTACAGCAAACCTCGTTCAGATGGAAAGCTATATAAAATAAGGAACAAGTAATAGGTTTATTCCATGCTGAAAAGAGAAGAAACACAACGTTTTGGGTGTGGAGCCATATGCCACACCCGAAGAAGGCTTCACAGCCGAAACATTGTTTTCTTTCTTCTCTTTTCAGCATGGAATAAACCTATTACTTGTTCCTTTGCAGCCTATACATGCTGACACAGCTACCCACCTGAACTATTTAAAATAAGGCCTTGTAGTTGCCATGGTAATGCGTGTACTTTATTACAAGTAACTGTTCATACTTAGCATATGTTTAACATAAAATAATATGATCAATGTGGAATAGCTTATGAATACAGGCTGACCTCTTGTATATTCAAAATTAATTAAATAGGAAATTACATGTTACTTTATGTACAATGCAAGTTGTTTTTGCAGACACTTATTGCAGAGCCTCATCTTTCATCTGAAGACATTTTACCTGTCCATATTAACTATTTTATCCCATCTGTTTCTCTGCTTTCACTGCACAGTACAATAAAAATACAATAACTACATATAAATATTCCATTCTTTGTGCTCATCACAATAATTTATTCACATCAAAAGACAAAACAGATGCCGAGTTTCATAACCATGATGCGTACCACTGCGTATTACTGCTGGGATACAAAGTAAAGCAATGGTTTCCTAATATTGAGCTGTCTAATTTTACTTTAAAGGCTTCAAACCTTACCGTAATGTTAACAAACGAAACTATTTTACTCCGTTAAACATGATTTAAGGGCATTCCTACACAGAAATACCATTGTTCTAGTTTTAAACAAATGAAGTTCTGATGGGTTTGTTCTCACCACATGCTATTGACCAGTAAACCTGGGAGTCGGGCGTCTGGTGGAGTATACGGAATGGTGCAACTTTAGCTGTGGAGTCCAGGACCGTGTCTAGTGTTCCCACAAGGAGACCTGTGTCAGTGTTCACAGAGAAGGGGAAAAAAAGGTTACTTTGCAGTACGTAACACTACTCTGCACTGCTGACAACAGAAGGTTACAAGGTTACAATGCTACAATGCAAGGTTACAATGCAGCTCATTGCCATGTACAAATACAGGTCTGCTTCCTCTTTTCACACCCTTCTAAACCTGTCAATATGAGATTATTAATATACAGGTCACAAGTATTGGAAGCAGCAGTGTCAAAGAGGAAACAAACCTGCATCGTGCTATTTTGCTGCTTGGTACAGTTGTATCCAAGTATTGGCAGGACATTTTGTTGTATTGAGGCAACATGAAACGGCAGTTTATTTAGAAAATTAATTCGAGGTCACCTTACACAGAGCTACATGAGACTCAGAAATGTGTTCTGTGAATGTATTTGCATAAGCAAGACTAAGGAAAATTCACACTAAGAAGAAGGGTACAAAACAACATCAAAGTCTTTGAATAGCCCTGTGAGCACAGTCTCAAGAAATGGAAGGTGCATCGTCGCACACAGACACTGCCTAGGCCGGGGTGTTCCTCCAAAATGAGCCACCAGGTAAGGTGGAAAACTGTGAACAGGAAAAGGAACATCCTCGTCCTTCCCTAAGGGGAAGGAAAGGGACTGGAAAGCTTGTTAGGCTTGAAGGAAAAATGGAAGGAGCAAAGGACTGGAAAAGTCTAGAGGAAAATCCATCCAAGTCTGCTAAAGACTTAAAACTGGGGTGAATATTCACCTTTCAACATGATGATCCAAAGCTACTCTTGAGTGGCTTATGAACGAGAAAGTGAACTCCTTGTGTAGCCCAATCAAAGTCCCGACTTTACTCTTATTAAGAATCTGCTTAAAGATTTGAAAACTGCTGTCCATAAATGATCCCTAAGCTTGAATGGGCAGATACTGTATCAGTGTGCAAAGTGGGAGCAACTTACCCAAAAAACATGGAGTCATATTTGCTACCAAAGGTGCTTCCACCAAAAACAGTTCACAGGTTTGAATAAGCAAATCAACATATTTCACTTTTTTCTCTATAGTTTTTGCTAACATTTACTGCAACAATGAGACACCAAGAAAGGCTATGAATAATTTTGCAAAGCACTGTACATACACCAAATTAGTTTTCCAGTAGCTTTGGGTTTCTCATAGAATAGTTGCCACACTTAAAAAAAAAACTCATATCCGATAAGGTAGTCAAGCCCTATAGCAGTAGTTGCCCATCCTGGTCCTGCTGATCCCCATACCTGTTGGTTTTTGTCCCTGCCACACTTTCAGTTACGCAATCAAATCCTGCATTGACTTACTAATAAGATTAAAACGAACTGTTTGCCCCCACCGCTTAAAAATATTGGGACTTTAACCGTTGTATTTGGTAAGTGAAATAAAACTGCAAACCTGTGACTAGAAACAAAATGCAAATTCAATTAGAGTAGTTAGTTAGATTGCTAAATTAAGGTAAGGGTTCGATTTTATAACAAAGGTGGGATGGAACGAAAACTGTTAGGTGTGTGGGACCCAAGGACCAGAATTAGGAACCACTGCTCTATGGCATGCAGTGATAACACACTGTAAAGAGCTACTTTTGGCTTTAGTAACTATTCACAGGCTTCTACTCCTTTTTTTAGCAGAACAGTATACATTGACGATATATTATTTAGTTATTATTTATTATTTTTTTAAAACTTCTGACAGGCATCTTCTGTCTCTCATGGGTTATTTGATAAATTGAGCAGCTTTAATGTGTCTATGCAAAGTTTGCAGTGCAGATCCTTGAACATGGAATGGCTTTCAAAAGAGGCACTTCACTGGAGAGTGGGCAGCAAAGTGCTCATCCCAGACTCCTTAGCTCAAAAGGATACGTCACTGAACGTACAGCCCACTTCAGGACATTACTTGCTAATAAGCTGTAATGACAGTTCAATATGCCTCTGAATCAGTGACCTTTCTGAAAGCTCCCCTTTCATTGTACTCAAAGTCAACATTTTAATTTGGTGAAAATCAGCCAAGATGGTTGTCTGCAAATTAAAATCCACACAAAACAGTACTTATAACAGTTCATTCCAAGCTGTTTAAAATAGTTGTGTAACTAAGTCATCAGCTTTTATCCAAACAGCAAGCAATAAGGTCTTCAATGCCACCTTTTAAACTGTTTTAACAATCAAAAATAACCAAAAGCAGACAAAAACTACACACACAAATGTTTCTAATTCATTATTTTTATTTTTTTAAGGAGAAGACTTTTTGAAATGTCACTGAAAAGACAGCATTGTCTTTGTTTTCCCTTTAATGTTTATTTTCTTACACTCTGAGAATAAATAAATAGGAGCCTTTTGCCTGTAATCATTTCTGTACATTCTTCCTTATGTATTTATATTACTTATGTCAGACACCAGCCTTAAATGCTATGGGATAAATCAAGCATTTGAGATATACTGTACTTTAACACAATCCAATAATTAACACAAACAACAGCATCAACATACAGTATGCTGAAGTGAGATTACACATCCACTTTCATTGATCATTTCTAAAAATACTTGTCTTTGAAAAATAGAAGCACATTATTTGGAATAGTGCTCTTTTTAACACTTTATTCTATATAATTACTTCATCTAGTGGAATTCATAACACATATTGTGCAGTCAAAACCTGTCAATTGCTTTACATTTCTTTACAGAAATTAATTAATTCTCTATTTCTGCAGTGACATTTACAACCACAGAAAGCTTCTGTCTTCCTTACTGATGGTTTTATCGCTCATGAAAGAAGATTTTAACACAGGCAATTAGTGACTTCTAATTTTCCCAAAGCTTTTAATAGCTGTAGATATGAGCAGGATTGTTCTTCTTTCCATTTAATTTCCTAATTATGAATCTCGATATTAAAGGTGATTTATTGTTATTGATTGAAATATGTGTGTTTTCACAATCCAAAAATACTGTTCATCACCTAACGCACACATTTATAGCCAGGCTGAGTATTGTTGTATTTATACTTCATAAAAATATAAAAAGAGACTCTGTCCTATTCCAAACATTAGCATATAGCTGGTTTTTGCAGGTAAGATTCACAGCAGTCCAGAGCCTATTCCAGAATCATAGAACACAAAGTGGAACAGCAGTCCATCAAAAGGCACAGATACACATACTGTACATACAAATATACAAAGGCAATTAAGATACTTTAATTGACCTTAACAGCATGTCTTTAGGAGGTGGACTGGACAGCACCCAGAAAAAAACATGAGGTGAACATGCAAACTCCACACATAAGGCACTCAAGTCTTGACTTGGGCCCGGGATTCAAAAGCTGTGAGCCAATAGGCCAACCTGCCACATCGCAGATACCACCACAAAAAAAAAGAGCTCCACTGTACGTTTGCTTGGATGTGTTTTGCATTGTCCATTGAGTCAAGCTCATTTGCCTTACACGCAATTTTTAAATCTTTCAAAGCAAAAATAAATTCTCAAGAGAAAACAATAGAAACAAATGAAGCAAAGGTCAGCGTTTGTGCAATTACACATCTGCTGATTAACTTCAGAGACTGACAATTTAAGGATCTAAAATCTGAAGCAAATTTAAGGGCATTAAATGTGGTCGCCTTCATCAAAGTAAGGGGAGGACTGTAAGCCCACTGATTAAGCTTTAGTAACTGAAATGCCTACAGCTGTCTCTTCTTACCCACCTCATTTACTTACATTAAAAAATGAAAATCCATTTTAGAAACACTTTGGACTTGTCAAATCTCAACAGCAACTAGTAATCAGCAAACCATACTGTACAATACAAGATCAAGAACATTCACAACTAGGTATAAACCACTGATCTCATAATGTTCATTAAAAAGATAAAACAACATAGCAGTGTTCTGTCCATGTATATACTACACCAGAGTGAAGTATTATTTATCTGGTAGTGTGCTTGGTACTGATTTGTGAATGGCTTTTACTGACCTTGTCACTTCTTGAAGAGGGGCCAATCTGTTATGTCAGCGAGGTCACACTAACAATGATATAGTATGCAAGGTACAGTGACAGAATTTCTTCAGTAAGCAGCTGTCCTCTATTATGTTAATGTCTATACACTCCCCATGCGTAGTGTATGGACAAGAAATGTTTTCAAGGTTAATGATGTCTATTGTAGCGAAGAAACATGCAAAAGCAATTTTTCACACATGCTGTGCACATAATAAAAATTGATCACCAAAAAAAACCACAAAAGGTGGCAATAGGAGGCATGCACAAGTATTACATTTTACTTGAGTGAAAATTACTGCTGTCCATATCTTTTTTAAGACATTAATAGCTGCAGTATTATGTATTCTAGCATACCGTCTGACAGGAAGAATATTTTGAACTACACTACTTTTAAGGCTCCACCCAAAAACACACCTATATAAAAAAAAAACATCTTCGAAATTCGGAGCCGTAAACACATCTGGGTCTATGACACTGACAGCGTGCGGATTGTTTTATCATCTCAACATCTGGGGCTGTAGCAGCAGAAGACAAAGGATTCGCTAAAGAATGGGACCTATCATGCCAGTCTCTGTTTCGATAATATTCTGCATAATCACAGAGATCGTGACACCAAAACAGCATACTGGATTGAAAGAGTGATGCGGTATTCGTCCTTTCTCTAGAATGGTGATTTGCGGACATGAACTCTAGGAATGAAAAGTTCATCACTACGCAAGGACGGGCACAGCAGCAACGATGAAAACATACCGACATTGATCAATTAAATAATAATTAAATTATATTTCTCCTAAGGAGACTGCAACGTGCAGTTTGGTCACTTAATGAAATTGTAAAGTTACATTTAAGGGAAAAAAACGTTCCGCAGTACATAACACCATGCAGCTGCTGTATAAACCATATTTAAACAAAAAAAATAGGTTGCTGACACGCGTTAGTGGTGCAAATTCTTATTGTTACGGTAAATTACAGTGCAATGCTAGTTCTGTACCTGTTAAGCCACCTCCTCCCTCTCCATATCCTCGCCTTCTCTGCAAGATGAAATAATCATTTGACTTCTCAGTGACCCAGAGCTTTAGGGCATTCTTCAACAGCACTTCTTCAGGTTTTAGCCACATTTTGTAACTCAGTTCTTTCAGAGTCGCACGACAAGGGGTTCATCGCCAGAAACACCTACTCCCCATAATTGTTTCTGTTTGCAGTTGAATCATTTCCCACGTAGGCAGCAAGCCTGCCAAAGTCAACGGCGCCAGGCGTTTCTGGGATAGTAGTTTCACGGACTGGTTAAATTCTATAGGAAGACTTCACATTCTTCACGCCACGAACTTCATTTCCCACAATCCCATACTTTCGGCCGAAAACTAGGTACTTCATTCAGTTGAATGCTTATTCAGCAAGAAAATACTTCATTAATGATTTACATGTGACGTTGGTAATATTGCGTTCATAGTGCTGACAGCAAATTGCTTAGAGGTGTGAGGCTACATATCACAGGAATAATACCACGCAAAACAATATTTGTTTAATCTTTGAAAGTTTTATTTCCAATAGTAAAGCTACAGTAACAGGAAGGTGACCATATTTTGGTTTTCCAACAAGAGCACGGGAGGGGGGAAATCGACATTCGACTAATACCTCCAAAGTAATGAATCTTTATTGCTTTTTCTAATAAAAAAATCTGTTTAAACTCTCTAGTTTTTATTAAACTTCTTGGTAAACTTTTAAACAGTTGCAGGATTGCTATTTCTCTTCCATAATGGCAAACAAGGAAACAAATATAGCCATATTTTAAAAAAAAAATGTTCACTTTAAAACAACAAAAGTCTTAACATCTGAGGAAAAAAATTAAGACATCATAACTTAGGAGAAGTTATTAGTTGCAAAAATGATCAATTTTAACGAAACATTTTGAAATATAATGAAACAAGTTAAACATTGTTTTGGACTAGAAGGGTGTTCTGATGTTTAAAAACTATGCCGTTTGAGAAGGTTCTGCAGTTTTCCTGATCTATAATCCCGTCCTTTGAAAAGAAATGCCACAGAAGCTTTAATTCTGCATTTAAGCATAATACAAGGGTAAAGGAAAGTTTGGGAAAAATTTTGAGGCAGTTGAGCAAGCAGGCAGCACCCATCCATCAGTTGACAGAAAATCTCATTGCCGGTAGATGTCGCAGGAAGCCGGAGTCTGTCTCGAAAACAAGGGGCTCAAGGCGGGACTACACCACTGCACTAAACGGGGTGGTTTAGCCTCTGTGCTTGTAAAGGGTGAAAATCCGAATTCAAAACACAGAGAGCATGCAAACTGCATACAGAAAGTACCTCAGGCCGAATTCGAACTCGGGACCGATGAGGAGAAATAGTGAGACACGTTACCGTCAGCAAAATGCTACGAACAAATCAATTTTCTTACCATGCTCTAGCTAAGAACTGCCAGATACATTAGTTCAGTCACCTAGGCCGTAAACTATTTATGCAAACGAATTAGTCCAAATGGTTTGAACTAAAAACTTACTTAATGTGTAACATACTGTCTGAGCTGTTAATATAGTGCCGACTTTAATATGTACCCTTCAGTATTTTACGGATATTCCAATAAAGGTTCATATTTCAAAATGTGCTTTTTCTACCTTCCAAAAAAAAAAACGAAAATAAAACACCCAGATGTTGATATGGACAATATATATATATATTAGAAAATAGATATTGGCATTCCTCTTAAATTTTGATTAAGAAAAATCCTTAGAACCATCCACGTGAAATTTTGGTTAGACCATTGCCAATAAATTAAATTTTGTTTTCCAGGAAAAGCTCATCATTCCCCCAAGATAATTGTGCCAGCGATCTTGTATCTTACCCAACATCTAGTTGAAAATTCAGTGTTTTGGATATTAGGCTTAAAAAACATTAAGATCAAACTCGAGCAGCATTGATGTTAGGTCTCTCAGTTTAGAGGTCATTAATTTCTAAGAAAATGGTTTATGTCCATGTACTGTAAATGTCTTACACTAACAATGACTATCCACTATCCAAAAACATGAATTGATAGCAGAAGCCTTTTGTATCATTACCTTCTTGGCATTAAACATCCTTTGTGAATAATTAGCTTGACCACAACACAAACAGCATCCTCCTGGGCAAGAAGAATGCATGCTCTAATCAACTTTTAGATAAATTATACAGATTAAACAGAATTTGAGCCTGACAAAGGCTTAAGTACCAAAACAGCTGGGGGTTTCTCTAGCTCTAAACAATCACAATTCTATATTCCCATTCATTACCTTTCAATTAATGATTACTGAAGATTTAGAGAAAGAAAAAAAGGGTGGAGTTTGTCCACACCTGCCTAAGCACACATTAAACTAAAGTTTATATCCACTGACTGAACACTCAATGAAAGCATATGAGCATTATAGAATTTGAACATGATCGTATTAATAATAACGTATATTAAAGTACCAAAGTAGGTTTGGAACATTTTTGTCCAGGTGAAAGATGTGATCTTCAGTTGGTCTAAGTCTTCTGTTCAGTCAACCCAAAGTCATTAAAAAGTTCCAGAATTAATTATATCAGGCAACACTCTCCACAGTTCCCCAACATGCACACTAACCAATAAAAACACCATGGAATAGTACAATAACAATTTTATTTACAATTTCAATATAAATTTTAATCATATGTACACCAGTTATTAATTTTCCCACACTGAAGTTAAGAAAATAACAGAACCAATACTATTTGTCCCTTATGTAATTTAAAAAAACACTTTGAAGAAATATTACTTAAGAGTGGACCTAATAGTTCAGTGTTAAGACAAAGTCACAGTTTTTAAAAAATATATTTGATGAAAGTCATGACAGCACAATAAAATCATTAGCAAAGTAAATAAAGTGCATGCAATCTGGGTTTGCAAATACTCAGTGAAATCATTCAAACGTTTTACATTCCAATATTATGCATTAAATAGCTTTAGGTACACATGTCTTCATAGCAGTTTAGTGGAGAAAGAGTGAGTTCCGTATTACTTTAAAAGACTCTTGCTCTGGAAGTCAGACAAAAAAAAAAACCTTCATTTAAGATTTGCACATTATTAAACACCCTGTATAAACATTTCATGTACTGGTGGAGACATATTTAAGAATACAACCCATGCAAAAGTGTAGGGACTGATCCAACTCCAAACTTAAAAAAAAAATTGAAATTGTATTTAAAAATAACAACGGAGATCATTATATAAAAATAGATGATCCTCTGAAAAGGTTTTGATAGTTTAAAAAATGTGTCACTCGTTCTGGAGACAGAAGAAGGTTGGAGTGGCACGAGATTTACATAAGAAATTGCAAAGGAACTCCAGTAGGTGGAAGCATTTCACTAGTTCACTAGGAATCTATCTACTCTTGTGCCCATCTCAAGTCCACTTAACATGAAAAGTACAACTACAACCCGATACTTCCAGTCATGAAATACATGCATGGCAGCTTTCAGGTATAATAGGAAAATTCAAAATATTGCAATATACCAATAACTCAAAGGACAGTTTCACACAAAATCTGTTTTGCAGCACATAAAACAAAGAAACCCTCCATGTCATAAATACAGCATTTTCCCTATATACTGAAATGTGCTTTAAAATGAAGTCTACTAGGGTTTCGGGTTTAGTACACATGAAAAAAATGTTTTTTTAATCAAACCATTCAAACCACACTTGGGATAACAAAAGGTCTGAAAATGCAGATGCTATAAAAGTATCAAGATTGCTGTGGCTATCAAAACAACAGACTGGATTTTCTAAGCTACAGTATGTGAACAGCTTCAGGTTAACCCCCTGCATTTTTATGTAACTGATGGAAAACTTTATTCATTAACTTAAAAATCCATGCAACTAAAGTGTTTGATTTGATTACAAGATATTTACCCCCCCCCAATGGGTAATTAGAGGACTATTGGCTTTTTCTGCAATTAAATCAAATCCTAAAAATCAAATCAGTCAGTGTGGTGCTTTGCTACATTCCGTTGAAGGTAATGGAGAAGTATTTTCTTAATATAAAATAAAAAAGAGGTTATGCATAGGGAAAGTGAGTAAGTCAAGGTTCTTAAAAATGCATAGGCAGAAACACTTAGGAATTTCAATATTATAGTATTGGTTGTATTTGTTTTTAATGCAGCTGAATCTTCAGTTTTGATTTATCAACATGGAAATTTATGTGAAGTGATGCGATTGTGGCATCAATCCCATCAGTTCCCGATCCTCCTTCTTTTGCATTCATCGGCATTATGTCTTGGCCACATGAAGGTTGCTCTCGTCGCCTTCAAAGCCAAGGTTGTCATATTGTGGCTGGACGTTCACCCTGACTGCTCTGTCTTGAGGAGTCTCCTCATTCTGGCAGTCAACTGAAGCAAATGAGAACCAGCATTAATCAGCAATGGAAGACACCACAAGAGAGCCCTTAGACCTTGTAAACACCCATGGGTCATTGTGCATTCACTGGGATGCCACTGTGAATGTGTTCTAACATTATTTTGAAGAAGAAATGGCTGGCTGATCTTTCTCATTCAGAATATTGAGATTTTCAACATACACCATTGTACCTGCGTCCCTACCTCTTTGGTACAGTAAGCTATAAAGCTTTAACAATGGAAAAATGAACACAATATTTTCACTCCCTCCTAGAACCTCTTACCATGTTGAGAGAACAGAATATTTCTGGCCTTGTTCCTCATTTAACCACTCATGACAGTGGCACTATTCCACAATTCTGTGACAGTAGGAGCAAAAGTCAATGGACTGGAAACTAAAATGATCATATCGGCGATAAATACAGTAGTTATTATACTGTCACTACATTTAATGCTTGGACCTTCTTGTAGAGATTTTGTAAAGAAGTTCCACAGACAAACACAGTATGCCAAATAAATCACCCTTGTAACTTTTGTTCAAAGTGTAACAGTTATCTATGAAGTACAGCAGTATATCAGATTCACCTTAAGAAGGAAGTGAGACTCCCACAACTTGAACAGAATCAAGAAATCTTAATGTCTTTAAACTTTAGGAAGCAAATATTTAATGGACACTACTTATCAGTTTAAGCCACAAATGAGATCACATGGCGATTCGTCATATCCAAGGTATCTGGGTTATGCAAGTAAAACAAGTGTTTAAACAGGCGTTTTGGAATTTGTTTCTGGTTTGAAGATTCTATCAGTATGCTTGAAAAAAGAACTTCCATATTCTAAATATACTTGTGGCAGGTCTAACATTTGACAAGTCAAGCAATAAGGGCCGTCAGTAATATTTCAAATAATTTCAAAATAGAAGAGCTGTTTAAGATTTCCAATAAGACCTACTGAAACAGATGTGTAACATCATTCAAATAAAACTTTTCACTACGCTTGCCAAATGAAGCAGGCCAGGTACTCGTGTGCTCGTGCTTTGTAAAGATTTAATCAGAATGCTTACTTTCAAGTTCAGGGTTGAGCGTAGCTTCCGCATGTTCTTCTGTGTCTTGTACTGAAGCATAACCCGAGGATGTGGTCTCACTTCGGGGCTCTTCCTCGGTCATTTCTGGGGTACCACGGGTAAAATTCCTGAACTCTGGGGCAGTAGGTACCATAATACTAGGCTCTTCAATGTCAGGCTGCAAAGGCACAGAAGAGGCACAACGGAGGAGTTCACTTGCAGTAGGCTGTACTAAATCCCATACCTTTTTAGTTTCAGAGATTAGAATAATGATGACCAACAAACGCAAAATTACTGAGAGACTGATTACCAAACAACCTGAGGGCTTTACAACCAAGACCATAACATCTAAAAATGAGAGGCCTATTTTAGGCCCATCTTGCTCATTGTTTGCTAGGAGCTTTCTGATTCAATCATTTTGTCCAAAGGAGTCTTGAAGGATCCTCAGGAATCTGCATTACCAAAATAGCCGGGCAGTTTGCCTTAGACTCCCATGGACTTCTGCATAAAGAAGTGCTTCCTGACCTGAATATGCTACCCATTTTTACTTGTCTCCTTGGGCCACTGTTTCACAGCTGGCCTCGGAGCAATCCTCTAGGTAAGCTTTAAAAATAGCTCTCAGGATTTAAAATACCTGTATCAAGTACCCTTGCAGTCTGCTTTGTCAACAACTGAAGAGATTCAGTTCAGCTACGGATAATATAGTATGTTCTGTAGGAGGCCAGACACTTAGTATTCTGCTAGACAAATATCTGACATAAATGGAAGATCCATTCTCCTTTGTCCCACTGAAATATAAATTACATGGATTACCAATCTTGAGTTCAAATGCATTTGAAAATTTAAAATGCGAAACTTAAAAGAATTAAGTCCAGGTCATCACAATGATGTTAATCACCTCTGCCAAACACCATCCAATCATATCAAATGAACTTTTTCCATGATCTTCTTAACTTTGAAAGGTAACCATTTTGAACTGGTTGAGAACATGAACAGGCATAATTGAGTGGATAAGTGAATAGCATTCAGTAGTGGAGGGAATATAATCATAAATGAATTTGAAGGGCATAAAAAAACAACTGAACCCAAGTCTGACTTAAGTTGTATAGAAGCTGACCATATAAATGCGATGAAGGAAGTTTGACATTTTAATTTCCAGAGATCGTGTTAATAAAAAGCTAAATATTAAGTGTAGATTTGCCTAGAAAACTAATTTTTAAAAAATCTTCATTTTTCTATTGACTTCAACAGTAAGTTGCTCCATCACCTGTTCTGCTCCTTTATCATTTTATTAGCCTTGCGCAAATGGAAAACTTTGACCCTAGTTGTTTATTCTGGAAAAGCAAATTCAAGCTGAAGAGGAAGCAGGACCTTTGAAAACGATCTTGATTTTCACATTAACGACAGTGGTGACAAATGAGAGAAACCAGAATGATTAAAACAGTGAAAAAACAAGGATTTCTAAAAGGTAGGATTCATAGGTAACTTAGGTCCACTTCACAGGTGTCCTTTAGGATGAGTTCAAATACTCCACAACAACTTTGTTTAAAATAATTCTGTTTAAAATCTACCTACTGTCTTCACTGGAAAAAAAAAAAACTTAATTCATCAGAGGCTGGCCTCTTACTGGAGTCTTACTTGGCAACAGTGATCTAAAACCCACCTCAACTCCCAAGGCCTTCAGGATGTCACATTTACACATGGGACAGGTTCTGTGCTCCAGCAGCCAGGGCTCAATACAGGATTTGTGGAAAAAATGGCTGAAACAAAAAACAAGAAATGTCTTCCCTTAGGTCCCGTCTCCATAAATAATCAGCTTCTCATTTCATTGGCAGGATTGCAGAAGGGTACAGTACACACCACTTCCAGTGCTAGAAATAATATTTCCACAATAAAACGCAAGGTTTTAAAATATAATTCTCATTTGTCATTCAGAACCATAAAACTGTAGGCGAGCATCCCTTAAACATACTGAAGATCAGAGAAGTTTGTTTCCCCATTAACATTAAATTGAGGCGGAAGGACTGAAAGCAACAACTGGAAATAGTCTTAATGATACAGTAGCTCACACTATACTTATCAAGAGCCCACCAATAATGAATGTGGCCAGTGTTTTTATCCAGATCAACTTCTATTTATATTCTTTACACAGCAGGAAACATTATCATCTGAGTGACTCATGTTGCTCAAGGGTACAACAGCGCATGTGGGCTCGGCAACAGTAATGAAGAATATCATATAGAAAGAGCTGGAATAAAATGAAGACACTAGCTACCAAACTGAACATCGGAGTGGCTTTTGACACTCCAAGTTTAGTTATGCCCACCAACGCCAATCCAAACCAAGTCTGCAAAACACTGCAGTTTACTTCCCGTTAAGAAAAACAAAAAAGTATTCCACAAATCTGAAAGACAAAAAACGTCCATCTAGTCCTTGCATTCAAATACTGTACCAACTAAAACAGTTCATGAGTTTATTTTCCTCCCTGTCAATGTACTTATCTTTGCCTGTGGATTGATCAGGTGAGCAGCTTTTTACTGTTAGTAAAAGCTGTTATATGGATTTTAACAGTACAAAAATCGACAGAACGGAAAGCAAGAACCCTACACAAGCTGCTCTAGGAATGCCAACCCAGGTGAGATTCATCTAAAGGTCAGCCATCTGTGCCCCCAGATCTGCTTCTTAAAAAGCAGGACACCCGCCCCCCACACTTTCCAGGCAGCACAATGAAACAAAAATAATTAGATGCAACTACAGTAGCAATACCGTGCATTAAATAGAAACAAATGACTTAAAACATAACTGAACTCTTTCTGTTGAAGACAAGACAAAAGTTAATGCCTTTAAGGACTTATCTGGTCTCTTCACAGTTAATGCAGTGGGCATCTTCAGAACAATGAAATATGAACCAGGGGACAAAAGTGGAAACTATGTGGAAATGCATTTTAGACAGAGAACAGGACATCCTTTGACTTGAGGGTGAATGGAACAAGTTACTAACGTTGAAGTCGACAGTTTGGTTTTAAAGAAACCGCTAGATACTTGTATCAATTAGCTACCAACTACCAAAACGAGTTAGATGGTCCAGATGGCCTCCTTTCATTTGAAACCTTGCTTGAGTTCCTAAGTTAAATTTCTGTTCAGGCATTTCTGGTAGATATAAACGTTTTATGTTAAGGCAAAGCTTCTCTGAAACTCTGCTTCATTTCTTCTACCACTAACTTAGATTATCTCTAAATTGTGAATACGTCAACTATAATGCATTTTCAAAACATATGCAAACATATACCGTAGGAGGCATAGTGGCGCAGGTTAGCATTGCTATCTCACAGCGCTGGGGGCCCTTGGTTCAATTCCTTGGGTGCTACAGTATCTGCAGGGAGTTTGTATTTCTCCCCCTGGGGAGTATAGTTCAAAGACGTACTGGTAGGTTAATTGACTTCTGGGAAAACTGGTCCTGGAGCGAGTGTGTGCATCTGTGTGCGCCTCGCCTTTATCCCATTGCTTGCTGGGATATGCCCCCCCCCCACCGCAATCCCTGTGAATTGGTTAGAAAATGGATGAATGCTAACATGCAGCACATAGAGATGGGTTAAAAAGACCAATATCCAAAGCCCCAATGAATATCTCTCTACCCTGAACAAGCTGCTCCTTCCAGTTTAGACTGTGTTTAGTGGTCTGTCTTTTACAATTCAATCAGGACAATTCTTCCCCCCACCCATCTGACATACTGCATACACACTGGTATCAATTAGACTTTGATAGTTGTCACAATCTCGCCTCATCACTGACAGGATTTTAAACCTGGCAAACCCACAGCATTTTAAACCATCAGATCCCAGTTCTAAATCCAAACAGCAAAATTTCAGTTCCAGCTCTTAAATTCTGCAAATTATTTATTTCAAGAGGAACCTGTTGCTGCTATGAAAAAGCTGCATGGAAAATTATAGAAAATTAATTAATTACAGACAATTAACACATGAGGTGTTTAACAGACCTTTTACCGATTTATGGATTATATTACTTATTTCAGAGAGTAAAGGACCTTATAGATTAAAACATTTCTCTTAACCCCCGTTGCAAAGTGACAGCATTAGAATGGACTAAATAAGCACTTGGAAAATCAATGGTCAAGTAAATAATAATAATAATTGCTTACACT